AATTATTATTATTATTAGCTATTAGCCATGTTCAGCTGATCCTGACATGTGCCATCTTGTACAGCTAACTGTGTCGGATGCAGCGAGATAACGTTTGTTGTGCAAATGAACCGTTTCACGCCCAAAACATACATAATATAACATATAATGAAACTAGCGCGATTGTATTTTGGGATCTTTGAAATTCAAATTCAGGTATCAGATACGCATATCATAAATTTATAATAAATATATTTAAAAAAAAAAGACGTTTCAATTTTTGAATAACTTGATATACAATAATAAAATGTATGACGTTATAAAATGCAAAACTGCGGCTGATGTTTGAACGGGTATAATACATATTTGACCGTTAATAAAATGTTTAATGGGTGAAGAAAATTAAATCTAAAACCGTCGTTGTATATATATTTTGTATAGTAAAGGCACGAAAGAGAAATTCAAAATATATACAACTTGTATAAAGAAATACAAGTAAATCCGATCGATCATGTTGACGGTGCAAAATACAGTCTACGACAGAGTTGGAGCTTAGACAAAATTAAAAATACCAGATTTTTAAAATACCGACAGATAATTTTTAAAAAATAGGATATTGTAAAATTGTTTGTCTGGTCTAAAATGTCTATCGATAACTGTACCTAATGACTTTTCAACCACGTTAAACATCTTTAATTAGAGATTAACGGGCAAACACTGCGGTAGCAGTCCATATTGATCAGCGTTTAATTCGGTTGTATTGTTCCCGTCACGTTTTGGTCAACTCCTAATTAAATAAACGTATCAGTACCTTGCAGTAGACAACTTGCAAGTAATAATTAATGATTGATTAATAGCGTAGTGATAAACTGTCTCGATTGTTATCTCCTTGAATCACATAAAATATTGCTGTATTTAATATATTCTGGCAAATTGATAAGGGCACGCCGCACATTTTGTAATATTATCTATATCTATTGTCATGTATACAAATCGTAATAAAATATGTCGAGATCAGTTTTTCGAATGAAAATAATATAATATTTTAATGAAGTCTCAATACCTATGTTCACACTGCAATGTACTGTAAAAAAAAAAAAAATGAAAATAATAGTGTTTTTAAAGTTAGCATTGAAGTGAATAAAATTAAAAATTTAAGTAATATATATTAATAATAATAGCTAATATAATCAATATATTTATCAATACTTAATGCTATGGGTATTATAAATTTTAATAATATTATCATATAATTGAAGCAATGAAAACGATAAAAGTAAATCTGTAAAAGTGACCATTTAAAAAAAAAGTTAACTTATTATTATCATACGTTAAGTATCAATAAAATCGTTTTTTATCTATTTATTTGTTTTATAATTTTTCATTTCGTTTTAAAAAAGATGACGAATAAAACGTATAAATACATTGAAAACATAAATTTTTGTTTTTGTCACATGTAAAAATATGTTATAGAAGTCACTTATATATTTTAATGATTCTCAGCACTTTAATTATATCATTATAATAAGTAGTAATGCAGGTACGTAAAACAAACACAACAAGAGTAATAGGGTTTATTTTTTTAGGCCATTAAAAAAATACCTGTTACATAATGAGTTTAAACAAACAACGTGCATACACATTATTTTATTCGCAGCACTCACAGTAAAATTCAACGAAGCATTTTTTGCGACTTTAATTGCCAATGTAAGAAATAAAACTATGACCGCTGGTTTTTATGACTATTTTGAAGGGGCTACTTAGAGTGTACACAATCATAAGATTACTACCTATAAGATACCTAACCTATAAGATTATAGAAACTACCAAGTTGTTTTTTATTTAAAATAATTTTATAAGATTCTCCAGAGCATTTAGACTATTTGCCTTTATGAATTTATTCACATAGTTAAATATATATACGCGAAAAATAAAAATATATACCTTTACGTTTTCAATACATTATTTTCGGTATTCCAAATATGTTATAGGTAAACAAGTGTATGCACTCACATACAAAAAACATTTTTTTTTTAATATAACATTAGTCCGCGTGTCTAATGTTATGTAATCCGAGTGTTGCGCAAATAAAAATAAACCCTCGATTGTATATATTGGACGATAAAAAGATTGGAGAATGAAATAAGGTCTTTTTGGGATCAGATTTACATTCGGGTGTTGCATTTCTTTATTATTGTGTTTGTACATGCGATTATCGAATTTTCGACGCTTGCGTAACGTTACCACCGATCTAGGCCTATTACAAATTTGTTGGGTTCATTCAGTACAACATAAAATGTGCGGGTGATTTTTTTTTCCCTAGATAACCTATCGAGTCCGGGTTGTTTGCACTACAAAACGCTCACGCAACATTCTATATCACAATAAAACACATAATAATATTGTACTGGTACAGGCCAGCCGCCACCCAAGGGATATTTTCACTTTTTAACACACAAACGGAATAACCGTGAAATTTACAAAAGACAAAAAAAAATATATATATTATTTATCTATTATTTTCACAAAAGGCCGGTATACAAGTGTAAGTAATCTCAAATGGTATCTTTTTTTTTTTTTACATTCAACATAAAATCGGATGCTATAATATCGAAAACGGCTACCGGTTTTCGCCAATATGTATACATATACAATGCGGTACGTTATATTATTATTAGGTATGTACATTATGGAGGCCGAGTATAATATTACAATAGGAGGTTTCTGGCCTGCGGTATAAAATTCGATTGTGTTTTGGGTAGCACGGTAGCAGCTACACGCAGAATGTCTGCTATACACACAGACAATGCAATTCGGTTTATTGGTCGAGTATGGGTGGAAAAAAAATTTGTTTCCGCTACTTCGTTGCATCACACGTTATTAATACATTATATAATATAGTTCTCCGACTGTTTGTTATATACGGCCACAACACCCCCGTGGTGTCACCGAAACCTCCACAGTTTCCGTTTTGCTAAATAGAGTATGCATAAAAAAAAAGAAGAAGAAGAATCTATTACAGGTCAAATTTGTTGAATATCATATAAAGAGAATCGAAGGTTTATAAAAAAAAAAAAAAAAACAGTTATTATTTGCGCAATCTATACAACTTATACCTATTATACTTTTGCTATTTTTCCCCCTAAATAAAAAGATATAGGTCCCTGGAAAAACTACTATCGGCCGATTGTAGAATCGGCAAAATTATATATAAATTGCAAAACACAAAGTATATAAATTAATAAACACTTAGAAGTACCTCCTCGATTGCTCCGTCCTCTACGCAGCAACTCAAAATATGTTTTTAATAAACTTATTTGTATCGTAGTACACAAGTGTCGTAACCTATAGAGTCCCAAAAAAAATGTAAATATTTTTTTAAATATACAGTAAAAACATGTTATTAAACCGTTTATGGTCAAAAGTGTATATTTTTTTTAATGCGGCAGGTTTTGTAAGTATTAATTTGACATCTTGCTGTCTAGGAAGTATATACATACATATATATATATATATATATGTATATATTGTAAACTTGTCAAGTTCATTAAATAGTGATATAGTATTATATAATTTTCAAATGTCATTTCTGTAAAAAAAAAAAATACTATGCGATCAAAATGATGATTATTGCAAAAATTTAATTTTTTTTACAAAATAACACGACAGCTATGCCGTATTGTTTTAATAGAACTATTTTGTATAAAAAAAAGCATTGTTGTATTCCGGGTTGCACAACAAAATGATACAACTAATAAATACATTTTGTAGTTTTGTCTTTTTAAAAAAAATCGAATTCATCAATAAACCATCTTATGAATGCAGTATTTATGCAAAGCGCAATTATCGTAGAAAAAAAGTGTTGATAACGATAAAAAGTAGGTTCTCATGTCGGTATTTTTAGAAAACTTAGTAAAAAAAAAGTTAAAAATGTCATAATTAAAATATAAACTATGAATGTTGGCTTAATAATATCAAAACAAGCCGACGAGAGAACCTAGATGAAGATATCATTATTTTTAATATGTAAAAAAAAATATTTCTTTAATTATTATTTAGCCAATAATAGAGATTACGCAAGTCTAGATAAAAAAAAATTAAATCACTGTCAACTGTCAAGGATGCTGTAATAGTCCGAAAAATAAATTAACTACCAAAAAGGAGTCCTAATTACTGAACTAATAATTATACACACTACATCACAGTTTAATCTTTAAATTAAGATTTGGAAAAAATTGCCTATACCGAACGCCTTAATATATAGGAGGACCTACAATAATTCCTACATAGTTTATACCGTGAATTATTTTTTCACAAAGTCCTAAAAAGGCGATTACTGATGGAATAATTGTTTTAGAGATTTTTGTTTTTTATAAGATCCGCAATACTATAGTTTTTAATGTACTTCTAAAATGCGTAACTTCTTCAATACTAAAATTTAGTATTATAAAATGTAATTTAAAATGCGATTTTTTAATTTGACACAGTGAAATATAAGCTAACACTGTATTTTCTAGTTGAGTTTGTAAAAAACAAAATGCAATTGACCCTCCTTGTTAGTTGTACCCATTTACATAATTAGAAATAAATAATATAAGGTATGCGATATCATCATTATGAAAAATAAGGAAAACGCTATATAAATGCTCTTATAATAAACTCCAATAAATTAACCGTTATAGTGACGAAGCATAAGAAAACACATAATAATGTAAAGTTTAAGTACATAAATAATTTAAGTGCCACATAAAATCCTTTCTAAATCTATATTATAATGATTTTAAGACTTCGGTGTATTGTTTTTACGGATGTTTAACATGATGATGACGATGATTATAAACCATCGCAACTGTACCTATATACGTATTAAAATAATAATATTATACCCGGTAAAACCTGTATTATTACTATCATCTCGACAGTCATGGTGTATGATCATATTTAAATGGACTTAGCGAATGGAAGGGGGCCTGCAGTTGAGGTTTGGCGAACGAAACGCTTGGCTTAGGTAGTGTGTTTGCGTTTATCCTGTAGTGAAGTCACTGCAGACTTTAACGAGTGTGTCGAGTGCTCCTTTTTTGTACATTTTTTAAACCACAGCAAGTGCTTTTAGCGTTTATCCGATTCAAGTAAGTTACTGTTATGATTACACACCTCAGGAATTATAATTTTAATTTCGATAAGCCAATTGTGTCCTATTTAAGCATTTCTACGCGTAAATTATAAGACTTGTTGATATTTAGTTTATTTTTTTTTTAATAAACATTGCAAATAGTTTTTGTTGAAATTACTTGAATTCGATTATTTGACTTTTGTTTTACATTACAAGAACGTTTATATTGAACTAACATTTAATAGTTTACCATTTCTGCATTATCTTCGAGATTAAGATATTATACAATTCTAAAAAAAGCATTATCGTCAAAAGAAGAAAAGAACGTATTAAAGATGTATTATAATATGAAAAGCTAACGCCGAGTGGGGGAACTGTGTATACTAGGGAGATGGATATTGCAAAAATAATAATATAGTCGTAGCGTAAACGATTTTGAAAACAGTAGGTATTGTAGTGGACTTTAATGATAAAACACTCCATTGTGTATTTTTTCTGTTTAATCAGAAGTCAAATAATGCCCGGTCGACAATTAATTGTTGGCTATTGTTTTATGATAGTTGAAAGGGTTCAAAAGTGAAGTAGACAATAAAGAAGAGCCCGGTTGAACAACACTAATATTATAACACCCCACCACTCTTCCCTCATTTGAATTTAAAAAGAAAACAGCTTATAACTGTAATATTTATTAACAAAGTCTATATTGCATTTAAATCATGAAATATACATAATTTATAATTATTAAATAGAACAATTAATAATGACTTATAATAATTTTTGTCATAATATTGATGGAAAACTCTGTAAAAAAAATACACAGACAATATTTTTACAAATCAATTTAATTAATTTCACTCTCAAGTCCCAATACCATTTTAGTGGTCTCCACTAAGGGAAGGGATAGGGGGAGGGAATGGGTTGACAATGAAAGCATATTTATTAGTGCACTACCCCAAATCGGATGTGTTATAGATTTAAACGCATTTTTTTTCGGTCAAATAGAAAAATGTGAGTTGCATAATTTTTCTGCAAGCCGTTTCAAAGGTCCGTCGTCCGTTCCAAGATTTTGCCGGTATATGACACTAAAGTCAAACCGAAAGACAGAATTGACTTGAGGGGGCTGAACAAAAACATAAACGATTGTGTACGATAACATTACAATATTTATGTCGTTATACGTCAACGACGGACCTGTAACTGTATAGGTACATATAATATATATACTATATATATATAATTTATAAATATATAGGCTAAATGTCTTTACCAATTCGTTCCCAGCTAACGCGCGCGCTACGCTCAGTAACGATATAGCGGTATATATTATACTTATAGGCATTACTATTATCTATTTATAGTATTTTTATGTACATATTTTTTTTCTCTATTTTTACATAACGTCTAGCGTTATTTGAGAACGAATCAATTACAGGTGAGCGTGTGCCGCCTATGGTCTACGGAAAACCGTCGATTTCGAAAACCGCAAACGTTTTATCATTCATATTATCATTAATTTATTAGGAACGCGTGACAATTGCGACACTACTTTTTTCACTGTTTTTTCCCCATTTTTTTTTATAATTCAGCTTGACAACTGCTGTTGTTATACGAAAACACGATATATTATACAGAGACGAGCAAATCAGTTGATACGAATATCAATAAGTTCTAAGATCGTAACGGGTTGATTGATTATCATGAAAATTAAATAAATACATTTTGCGGCTATACAAACTCACAGTGCGGAATGCGAATAATTTGTTGATGAATATTAAGTGATACCGGTTGTTTTAACAATAATCATCACTGCGCATGTGTACTTAGGTTTAACTATAATTCATATTTATTAGTAACCAATCTAAGTTCCAACCCTTTAGTAGCTGTTGTGACAAAAATAACAAATAACCCAAAACTCCGGATCAGATGTTTTGAAATATTCTAGTTGTTTTTCTTTTAAACGATCCCCCCCCAAAAAAAAAATCCCCCGTTTAAAAGCTTCAGGTAGTCAATGGTTTATTTATTTAATGTTATTAGGCAATAGCGTCCCCCGTTCTGTTTTAGGTTTAGGCTCGGAATCGTTTCTTTATATACATTTATATTACATTATAAATAATTGGGTTATATAATAATATATACATTATATATATATATACATATATTTGTCCATTGCCAGGCCAAAACCGATTGTCGGGTCGTAGATGATTTATCGGCCGACAATATCTCCCCCTCGGCGGCGGCAATGCTACACGTTATTAACATTATAATATGATATTATAACATATTGTGTATAAATTTAAGTACAAATGTGCGACCCCCACATAAATGTGTTTATGCAAATTGTCGTCAATAATGCGATCAAGATCACGTCAAAGGCATTTCCGCAAAGCTCGTGTGGCGAGACCGTGGTTTTAATTGAATAGAAAAAAATAATAACAATTATAATATGTACATCCACGAAGAAGCCGCTGGATTTGCTACAAAAAAAAAAACGCTTAATTATAATGATGGATTTTTTATACAGTCATTTCCGTACGGTTTTCCTTTCGACGACCGAATTCTCCATACTATTCAGCCAAGGCGAACGTTAATAATTTATAGATCTTATCGTGCCGCCAATCCAATGGTCTTTATTCGATCACCGGTTGTCCCTCCAATGTTAATATAAACATTATACAACATTATTGCAGTGTACAAGTAATTTTTTTTAGTTTCGACGCGAAGTTGAGAAGGTATTGTTTTTATAATTATATGTTTTTATTTTTGTGTCTGGACTCGTGATATCTCATATCATTCAAACTCCTAAACCAATTTCTTCATGTAGCATGACCTTACAGATCAGTAATCGTACCTGAAAATGGACGAAAAGTTCACCCTATTTCCTTGAAAATCGAGAAAAACACTCAAAAAATTTACATATTTTTAAAATTAGCATGACACCGCCTTATAAATTTAAATAAAAACAGTCGAATTAGTTCCAAATTTGTATGGAATAAAACTACAGATAAAGTGCTATCGATATACTTATGAAAAATCAAACATAATATATTTTTAAAAAAACTCTTTTCCCTGGAAGAGATAGAAACTTTTTTTTATTTCATTTTTTTCTAGCAAACATTTAAGACCAAAAGTCTGAAAGTTAGACCGAAAATCTGTAATCAAAATATTAAGGAAAAACCGATAAAAAAAAAATGGGAAAATTGTGAGTGAATACAACGGTATTTGACAATATTTTCAAAATTATATTACTGACAATGCTTGTATACCTGCTATCAATACAGATACAAATCGAAAAATTTATTTGAAAGTGACAATGTCACTTTCAGTTTTAACAATATCCGTAGACCCGTGACCTCTCCCTCTCCGACATGGTCCATCGCCACTATGCTGCGACCCCGCTGTACTGGCTTTTTGTAAAAAAAAAAAATAATTACTCTTGAAAAAAATGATCAAAATACAAAAAAAAAACCCACGCGTTCTTCGGTCGATACGTTGATCTTTTGACCGAGACCTTGATGGTTACACAATGTAATTGGTAAATAATTACTGTACGTTACGATTCGGGTCGACCGTGGGGAAGCGATCAAGAGCACGCCGATATCATTATCGTTATTATTATTGTTATTATGTATTATTATTATTATTGTTGTTGGCTAAAACTCTAGAAACGAACGCGGCTAAGCACAATGAGCGAGAGAGGAGAGCCGACCGAACTTGTGCTTAGTGTACGTACCTATGCTCTGCATGACTCCGCAACGATCGTTAGGAGCGAGAAAAAAAAAATGTTGCTAACAAACAAAAAAATACCCGTTAATAATAATAATAATAATAAACGCTTATCATTGTTTTTTAGACGTGCGATGAAAAGAAGCGCCGCAGACGGAGAGGAGGCGACCAAATACGAAAAAAAAAAATAACATTTTCATTATCATTCATTTCCCTGTTCACGTACACCACATACTCGCACACAACCTATCAAGTGCAAGTCGTTAAAGATATTTTACCTTCGTCCATCGTCGCCTAATCATGATGATGCGATGAAGATTACAGACATTGTTATCATCTAGAAGAATTACCGCACGCGTTATCCGAAAATGTTCATTAAAATCGACGTGCCGCCCGTCTTTAAACAGGTAATAATGCATAACATTATAACACACTAAACTATTACAATTTACATTATAAATTATAATGACAGAAATATATTTGTATTGCTGTAATTTTGTAGTTATCGCGTGACAATTACAATAATAAAAACAATATTACGATATCCGACTGTGGCAACGGTAGACTCTTATTAAGGCGTCCGGTATAGGCAATTTTTTGTTAAATATTAAAACAATATAAGTTTATACTATCGCGTGTACAATATCTGGCATAGCTGGTAGCATACAGCTCACAAATGCATTAATTGTTTATTTTTTTATGAATCCGAATCTGGTCTCAGAATAATAATGATTGTTCTAAGCGCGTCTAGTAATTATTAGACGCGCTTTTAATAGTTATTATAATAACTATTAAAATCGCCTACAAAACTGTAGGAATCACCGTTTTTTGTAGTATTCTCATTAAAAATGCACAATAGTTATAGCTCATTAAATTGAAGTTTTGCGGAAAGTTACCTAATTATCGAATTACCATTAAAAATGCTTTGCATAGATCTTTTCATATACTTAGTGATTGGCTTAAACCGTGATACAAAAACCAGATAAATTTTCTTTAAAAAAAATTTTTTTTAATCTTTCCATTTCCTGAACAGATATCACAAAATGTATTTTTCGCCACCATTGGGGTGAAAGAGATAAACAGTTTTATGTTTACCACCCTGAAAAATGACAAATTCGTGAGTTATCTGGTTTTAGCACCAAACCTTTCATTTTATATATTTTTAACAAAAAATGTACTATTTTTGTACTTAACTTTTAACACTAGTGTAAGTTCTCAGATCTCAGTCCAATTGTCCGCTAAGTACAGAACCTATTCAGATTTTGGTTTGTTTTTGAGGTACTGTGATATTGCCTATTAATTATTAGGGTCAGCCAAGAGTCGGTCAAATGCAATTGACCAATTGAATACCTTGAAGCCACCGTTTACATTTAATAGGGTCCCAAGTTCCCACAGATGTACCATAATTTCTGTTTTGAGTGATAACATCCGACAAGAACACGCTGCAGTTTTGGTATCCTAATGTCTGACCTTAAACTTCAACAATTTTGCAATTGTGTATGACGCGTTCAAAATCGGTTCTGTTGCATTGGGGAAGACTTAATGTAATGTTTTCTTTAATTTTTTTTATTTTGAACTACGCGCTCACTTCAATCACATACATTAATTATTATGTCAAATTAGCGTCTGAACCGCCATGACTTGTAAAAGAAATAAAAAAACCTATACAAAGCACGTAGTACTTACATAGTATTGGAGGTTATATGTAACAATAGGCGCAATGGGCAACGTTAATTCTAGTTAAGCCCGACGACGGCTTAGGCCGAAACCGGCAGTAAATAAATATAATATATATATATATATATATATATATATATTTTAATGATAAGGCTATATTAATTAGTGTACTATAATAATACTTTTATATACTTTGTATGTAAAACTTTATATTACAATATCGATAGATTACAAACATCGTTTATATCGTAAAACGTAGTTTTTTCCAGTTTATCAATGTTTCAATCTTCTTATAAAGGACAAAATAAATGTTAAATGCAATTTATTATATCACTGTATCTCTATGATATATTAGTTACTTACTGGCTACTGTCTACTTTTTTGCGCGTGCAGTTGAATAAGTTATAAAATCAGGTTTTTTTTTTAAAAAAAAAATATTGTAAACGGGTTTTATCTGTTTATTAATATTGTTCTTTAACGCTATCTGTGAAATTTCGATATTTTTGTAATTCTATATCGGCGTGTATGTTAAATATATCATATTCATTATACACACAGATTTCAGATTGCGTTTTTATTCGAATATACTGCGCTCAAGGATCCAGGTAAACGTGTACGATAAATCAACTGTATTCGAAGTAATTTCAAAGCTATTTTTTTAATCCATAATGTTGCGCTATTTCTTTGTTGTTGTTTTTTTTTTTTAACGAGTAGTCTTTGGGGAAAAAGTCGTGAATGGATCACTCAACACTATTATTCTACCGGCCGTTCCGACGAACGACAAGACGTTGGGATTGTTAATTAATGTTGACTGTAAAAACAAAACAATGTTTATAGATGTTCGCGGCTTCCGGACCTTTGATCGTGACACTGGGCTCTGGCATGACCGTAGGTTTCTCGGCCGTGCTGTTACCGCAACTCAAGGACGACCGTTCGGCCATCAGGATCGACAGCAGCCAAGAATCGTGGATAGGTGAGCGTTACCTTATTAGAAATAAACATGTACAAGACGATTGCAATTTTCAATCGGATTTTGATGAGATTAAAAAAAAAAAAAAATACCTTTAATTACACAGGAAATATACATAGTGTTATTATTATTATTATTGTATACAACAACAGCGACGCATACAGTTTTCTATACTGTATACAATCACACCGCGTCTGTCAGACAACTCTGAATCGACGGCCAAACACGTTCATTAAATTATAATAGTATGTCAATTACAGCCAAAATAATATAATAATAGCTTTATACAGCAAGCCATAGTACCTGCACGAGCTTTGGCGGTTTATACTAATGACGATACATTAGTTTTCCCCGATTCAAATAATTGTTTTTTATTACTTAAGATGGTATTGTTTTAATAGTAGTAATGTGTTTTACATTGATATTAATGTACATTTATATTTTTCATATTTACGGCGCTCTATTACTTTTTTACAAATAGTCAAGTTAGTTTGTATAAAATATTCTTTAGACATAGCACTAGGTACCGGTAAACGTTAACAAACCGAAAAAATATCTTAAACCTTGTCCCTGAGAAGGGGATGAGAATTTTTCTGTACTTCGCTTTGTTAGAAAGTCTTAGGTCTAAAGATCTGAAAATTAGAATGAAGTTAGATCTAAAATGGAATCTAGGATGTGGTATGAATTTAAAATGTATGACATTTCGACTACGAATAGATATATAGTGTTACATAGATTATAGTGTTAAAAATTGAAGACATCATAAAAAAATTATAATGTTGGAACGCTGTAAGGCGATTAAAATCAGACGGGTTTTAAGGGGCTTTATATAGACAATATTTTTACAGAAAATAGTCTTAATAAATTTCGGTTATGTCAATTTATTTTTAGGTTAATTTGTATACTAAGCTAATCGGTATTAATTTTTAGCTTATACATTTTTTTCTACGAGGAAAAAGCATTTTGTTTCTACAAGTGACCAGTATTTATAGACCTAAAACTTTAAAAAAAGGACGACGAGCTTAAATATCTGTACAGAATTTAAACCGGATCATTCGAAGTATGCATAATTTTAATCAGGCATTTTGGGTGTGAAACGTCCAAAATAAAGACGGCTTTCACGTGCACTGGTCGTATCATATTAAATAAATCCATCCCAATCGATCCAACAACAGCTACGGAGTGTTTGAAAACAAATTTTCCTAACATTATGCAGACAATAGGCCCCGCGACGGCTCATATGTACAAACAATAATTGTATCGTTAATCGGAAACGGCGTCCACTCGGATGGAAATAATCGTTTAGACGACTTAAAAAGCTACGCCACAGCAGCAACAACAATAATACATACATTCATGCATGTACACTCCAACGTGGACATGTAACACCGCTTCGAGCACTAAACCCGCCGATTAAAATAAATATTATATTATTATTATACAGCTCTCCCTATATTTGCTCTCTCGAGTCGTCCGCAATTTTTACTGAATAGGGTTGGATTTTTTTTTGCAGACAATTTAACATGAAGAAAAAAAAAGCACAAACACACAGAATATACTTCCCTTTAATCGTCCGTTAGCGCTGTTGGCCCGGAAAATACTAGCTGAGCTATACTATACGATTGGCAAACGAACCGTTTCGGCGAACAAACAGAAAAACATTGTAAACGTCAAGTGTACAATTTATTTTTTACCCCGTGCCGGTTGTGTTCTAAGCATTTGACTAGTACCGTTCGAGTATTATTTATTATCATACTCGAATAAAAAACATCTACAGTCTACACTGGATACTATATTAAAATACACGATTATTAATATTGACGGGCGCTTTGGATAGGCAACACAAAGCGCGCATATTACTAGTCTGTACTACAACTTCGAGGGGTTTTAAATAAAACTATTTAAAATACTACCGAGAAAAGTTATTTAAATTAGGTTGAAAATAATTCGAAAAAAAATTCTCTACACAAATATCTTAAGAGTCAAACCTACCGACTTGACCTAAATGATTTTAATATTTTTATGACATTTTCTTTATTTGTAATTTTTAACAATTTGTTTTTATTATTACCTATAGCTCTACAATCTCATGTATTTCACTTTTTTTAAAGGAAGTAGGCTTGGGGAATTTTCAGCTGCAATTGAATATCTACAGCGGTAGATATATTTAAATAAAATATTTCAACACAAATTATCGTTCTACAAAAACGGTATAGTTTTACTGCTATCTGTTATAAAGTGTATTTTCAAAACAATAGTTTTTTTTTTTTAGACACAGTCTAATGTATATAATATTATTTAACACAGCAACGACATGTTTCTAAAATATTAATATGTTTTTAGTTGTACTATCAGTTACTATCTTGCAGTAGGTATTTATGTATTTCTTAGTGTGATAACAACAGTTTTGTCGTACAGTTTCGCGAATCATAATTTAGGCATTCAACCAACAACTATTGTAACGACATAATGTTATTACGCCTATTTCAATATTTTCCAAATAGAGGTGCGTTTAAACAGTTTTTTAATGTACATATATATTTTTAAACCGAAATGCTTTTATACGGGTAAAATAACCGAATATCGTGACATCATCGCACAGTCGGTAACGGCAAACACAATCAAAGCTAAGGGTAGGGACAGGTCCGTCCTTGTATTTTTAAACACTCACCCGGACCGAAAAAAACCACTCTAGCCCGACGTCAATCCCTCAAAGTCAACCCCGACCGGTGTTGTTTGTGTGTGCATAAACTCCCTGTGCGGCGGTTCTACATTGTGTTTATAATAGTAATAATACTATATGAGAGTACGGTGTTTGCTCGGTCTTTGTGTGTGTACGTTCGGGGACGATTAGATATTTTGCACTCGACGCTAATAAAAAATAACACCGTTGTCATTGTCAACACGGTGTTAACGCGGTACCTACTTCAGCGTGGGTCCAGGGTTAATGGGCTACTGGGAATCCGCTAAAACAAAACAAAAAACAATCGTGTAAAAAATACACCACGGGAATGGCGTGCAAAATCTGGAATTTCAAGCACGCCATAACAATTAGTGCACTAGTTATTGCACTTAATTAGTGCACAAGCTATTGCATTTAAGAGCGTCCAGTATTGCTGCAACAATATTGATAAACACCCAGAAATCGTGGAAAAAATGTTTAAAGAAACGGAAAATCATTATGTTCAACCATTCGTTGCATACAATGTGGACAATTTAGCATACATCTCTCTCAATAATTGCAATTCTGTAGTTTTTCTTTTTGAAAATATTTTTGTGTTATTTTAAAATGTTATAAAATTACTTAATATTTACCTTTTTTATTATGTTATATGATAATTCGATATGTATCATATTGCAATGTCATATTTTTGCACGATTCGGTTTGAATTACCAATGTATGTAATTAGTTAATGTTGGTGGTTTAATAGTGGTATGCACATTTGTGTCCCTCGTATAAGTAACTGATTCAGTGTCTTAGCTATTTATTGCTGTATATTTAGCAATAAAAGAGTTACAATTTTAGCAATTAAAATTGTATCATCTGTAATTATAGCTAATGTATGCACTATTATAAGTATGATATTAGGTTATCCATAATTATGTAGGTATTTAACAATACCTTCTATTATAACATAGACGTGGTTTTCCTAACTTCATTGATAATATAACTGGGTAATAACCAAGCTTGATATGGAAATAAATGCAGTGTCATCTGATAATAAAGTTAAGAAAGTACGTTATTAAATTATTTATGAATCTATCTGAACATGTTTACAGCTAGCATGGCAGCTTTACCGATGGCCGCGGGCAGTGTACTTGGCGGCATATCCATGGACAAGCTGGGCCGGAAGACCACCAACCTCTTGATTTGCGTGCCGTTTGTACTGGGATGGACGACGGTGTCAATGGCCAGGGGCCTGCCGGCGGTGTACGTCGGCCGGTTGTTGACGGGCCTATGCACCGGACTGCTCGGGCCGCCGTCGGCCGTGTACATAGCCGAAGTGACAGAACCACAATACAGGGGGGCCGCGTTGGCCATGATATCGTTTTCGGTGTCGGCCGGCATTCTGGTGGTGCACACTATGGGCACGTTCCTCGGTTGGCGGCTGGTGTCGGCACTGTGTTCGATGGTGCCGTTCGCCGGTTACGCTCTCATATGGTTCACGCCCGAATCGCCAACCTGGTTACGCGACAAGGGCTACGCGGGCCCGGCCGAACGGGCACACTGCCGGTTGACCGGCAAACAGCCCGTCGTACCGCCAACGACGATGGACAACAAGCAGGCCGCCGTGTCCATCCCTGATCAAAAGCCGTCGTTCCGACAGTGCATTGGCCGCACGTCGTTCCTCGAGCCGTTGCTCGTTCTGGCAGCGTTCTTTTTCATCCAACAGTTCTCCGGCGTCAATGCGGTCGCCTTCTACTCTGTCACGCTACTCAAGCGTATCAGTCCCGACCTGAACGAGTACTACTGCACAATGGCTCTGGACGTGATCAGGCTAGCCGTGTCGGTGTTAGCTTGCGGGCTCACCAAAAAGTACGGCAGGCGTTCGTTGGCCGTCGTGTCGGCCGTCGGCACGTCCGCTTCACTCTTGTGCCTGGCCGCGTTCGTCCCGGACGGCACACCAACCGCCGTAACCGCCGCCGCCGACAGCACCTCAACGGCACTGCCCGGGCTCAATTTTATGCCATTGCTGTCCATTGTGTCGTACATGCTCTTCGTCAACATCGGCCTGGTGCCTTTACCGTGGATCATGTCCGGCGAAGTGAGTATAACCGTTTAGGCAACTTACTCGTCAACAACGTACGTTCAGTGCCTACCCAATAACTTTTAAGGCGTTACATTTCTAAACAATTATTCTAACAATTATCTTAACTGTTTGTCGTTTTGGGACATTTGATTGGCCTTTTTGCGGTTAAATAATTATCTAATCGAAGCAATTCTTCTTGCAGATGTTTCCGTCGTATTGCCGCGAACTCGGCAGCAGTCTGTCCACGTGCTTCGGGTTCGTCATGTTCTACTTGGTGATTCAACTGAGTCCGCACCTGTTGACCAACATCGGCACGTCCATGACATTTTACATGTTCGGGGCCGTGGCCGGCACGGGAGCGATTTTTCTCTACTTGTGTTTGCCGGAAACCAAAAACAAAACCATCAGCGACACGACCTGAGTCCGCCTGCACACAATTACACCATAGGGCTGGTGGTTTTTTCTCGAAACAACCCCCAAAAAAATCGACGCCTGCCTAACAAAACAGATGTCTCGGCGTGTTGAGATTTAGTATACGTTTAAGTACCAGCTACATGTTAGCAGCTTACAAACGTAATTCCACACCGAAAAGCTCTAAATCTGCACCAAACACTTCATGCCTAACCTAACCCACCCAAAAGCCTCTAATCTTACCCACGCCCAAACCAGAAGCTAATACAAGCGAGGGCTATGATGGGGGCTGTAGCCCTTCTATTATGTCCATAAATTGTATCCATTAGAAGTGTATTTTTATATATATTTTTTTCTAATATAATAATATATTAGAATGTGTATTTTTTTACTATGTAAACTTTATGACTAATGCTTGTATGTATTTAAAGTGATTTCTTTTCTAACCCGTCCCCTTTTAAATCCCGCACTCTCCTCGTTAATATACACTATATAGATTAGAATATGAGGATGCAGATTTGGAGCATTAGAAGTGGCATTGGGAATTGTATTTGCAAGCTAATTGTGTTACATAATATGTGTATAATTTTTAACTCGTATAACGTGTAAGCGTACAGCTCGACCCCTCACCTAGTCAAACAGAATATAATAGAGCCCTAGCGAGCTAACGCTGTACAACGTTTGTTATATTAAATGTACAATATTTAATAAAATACTATTGTTGTGTAATTATTTATCATATGATGACTTTCCATACTTGCATTATGATATGCGACTTGTGTTTTCTTTCCTATCAGCATTGTTACCAAATATTTGAGTTTCAAATGCGTGTACGCTGTCTTTTAACAATATGTTTAATGTTTTTTTGGAAATAAAAGAAATGTAGGCTACTGATTTTTTATAATTTTTTAATGACCCATTTTCGAACCGCATATCTATTGAAATTGCCTTTAAAATAACAGTTTCTAAAATTTTACCTAATCTACGAGTATTTATTATTGTCATTTCCAATAATTCAATCATTCATTTTATACACTTTCAATTATAACAGTGGTTTTGAAAATAAAAATTATTTATTTTTACGATTTTTTTAAAATAAGATATAAATGAAGGTTTTGTAAACAAGTTGAACCACTAAATCTGACCCCACCATGGTTTTTAACGACAAAAAATACATTTATGGAGAAAACAACGGAAACATTCGTTTGGGATCATGACTGCATTTGTGCCCAACTAGACATAAGTTAAGTTTAAGCTATATTGCATATATAATGCACGAAATGGCAATAATAATAATTATCAGTTACATATAATTATTTATTATTATTTTCTTGGTATTTTTTTCAATGTGATTTTTTTACTCGACGTTAAATTTTATAATCGGTTATTGTGTTGTTTTTTTTTTTTTAATGCGAAAAATCACTACAAATAATTTTTCCGGTTTTGGCTGGCACACGGTTTGTTGGCAAAAACATAAATGCATATTGCATAGGTATGTATGTATATCATATAATAATATTTAGGTATGCGTTATGTTTGATTTTTGAAAATCCTCGTTAATGTTTTATGCGCTAAGCTAAATTGTTTTACACACATATAACAGTGAGTACGACATATTACATTAAGCAAATCCAAAGCGTGCCCGTTAATACTACCGAGATCATTAGACCGCCAGCACATCCGTATGCGAGCTCACAGTATTGTATTGTATTTTATTATCAGACCGGCTTCGAGGGGCAGTACAAACGAATAACGATTAGACAGCATCAAAGAAAAAGGGGACTCTCTACAAAACGTGTGTGTAGAGGACCGTCGTTTCACTTAAGATAAATTTAATAACATTATTATTACAAACATTCAACGGCTCGTCGGCAGTCCAATAAAATTCAAAATGATCACAACGTGCGGCTTGGAAACGGTCTTTCATTTGGGTACGTACAACGTAAACAGTTTAGGAACTAAGTAGTACTTTATGGGTGGAGATTTAGGGAGGGGGTCGGGGGATACCGAAAACCTTCAAACTTCCAAATTAGGGATTTTCCAAACACAACTACATTTATTTTTTAGGGAGAGATTTGTTGAAAAAAAAATTTAACGTAGCGCTAATTTTAAGTTTTAAGGTTTTTTTTAAGGGTTTTTAAAAGAATTCCAAGACCCCTCCGCCCAATCTCCACCTATGCAGTACTTGTTTTAAATTATATTTTTTCATTATCAGTCGTCAAGACTTTTTCCATTGAAATAAAACTCAGTGTTCGTTTTTGTGCATAATTTCAATAAATGCCGTGCAGCAGATGCGTAACATACGTTTAAAAAATTAAACCCGAGAGAATGGGGAGGGGGGGGGGGTCGATTACCGTGTCGTCTAAATTTTAATTAAATTAAAAAAAAATTTTTTCTATTTCTTCGGCTCTCCATTTAATTTACCACGCAATTTAACTGCTAACATTTAACACAACACTGGACATAGTACAGGTTCAAGGTTTGTAAAGGAGTAATACCTTTATTAACTACATATTGGGCATATTATGTGTACATACTATATCAAATACAATGTACCTTTGTTATCATGCGTATCACAAACGGTCGACTCTGACCAGTGACCGTTGACTAGGAAGATAAAATTGTTTACTACATCAAAAAAAGTGCATTTGCACTATATTGTATCTAACCCAAGGTGAATTATGACCATACATTATAAGATTATTGTTTTTTTTTTTTTTGAACACGAAGGCCATGAAAATATTTGTATTCGTCTTAAGTGATTTCTTTAGAAATTCTTTTAATTACTATTATTATAATATTGTAGTTTGTAGACTACATTTATTTTAATTGGGAAACGTACATTTCACGAGCCGTAAATAAAAAATTAACAAACATTATTATGCCGATAATTAGCACGTAGCTCGCATTAATTTACAAGACTAAATTCAGTATTTGTACGCTTTTGATTTAATTGCCGTAATGAAAACACAAAACCCGCAACACGGCCCAACTCTGCCAAAACGATAAAGTATACACATGTTTTATAATTTATTAACTTCAGCATTACTATTAGGTAACATAAACCAATTAATTTAATTACATTTTTTATTTTATCGTCACACCGTCAATATCAGAATTCATAATTAGATTTATTTATTAATTAATATTCTAACGTTAAAGGAAATGAAAGATATAGGTATCTAAATTGTAAACGTTTAATAAAATTCCAATGTTGTAAACGATTTGAGATAGAAATTTGAAAACAATCCAGAGCTGTTAAAACTGATTTCGATTGGAGCTAAAAGTGAAAATGTTTAAGTCAAATGGTACTCGATTTGGCGTGAAATACACCACTAGTGATACTTGTTGAAATAGGCAAAGTGTGGATTTGTTCAAAAACAGAACTTTTGATCATAAAATATTTGGCAATGAACGCTATTTTATTTGTGTTTGCTTTGAATGTTTGAAAAGAGCATTATTAAAAAAAATCTAAAACTAATGAATATCGTCCATAAGAAGAAGTCGTAAACATAATCCTCCAACGAATTATATGAATTACTTGGGTTTACTATATTTTTTTTTTATGAAAATGTCCATAATTAATTTGTTTCACAGAGGAAGTAGTATATTAAAAAAAACTATTCTAGTAATAATATAAATGAATTAAACGACATACATACAGCATTCCATTTCACATAAGTCGACCTGATTTTAGTGATACAATTTTTTATGTAAGTCGATTATTTTACATTATCTACTTTATTGTAGTATTAAGTCTTAACTTAGTTTCTACTAAAAGTAATTATAATGATTTATTACGATTATTTTGGTTTTGTGCAACAAAGTGTTTTTTTTATTAATAGCAAACACATGTTAAAGTTTCCATTAAGTTTAAAATTATTTTATTGTATCATTTTGTTCAAAGAAAGAAGTGGTCGCGCCTATTCCTTCCCTAAATTTTTCCAGGCGGACTTCACTTGTACCCTTTTGGTTTTCACCACATGAAAATTATGCCTACGTATAACCGTAAACCAAAACAATGTAATAATATTGCAGACGGACAGTTGGAAACTAGTTGAAATCCGGTTGTCAGCGGCTTGTTACGTTAAAAAATTTGGTATCATCAACCAGTGTATACCATTTAAAACCTTTAAAAAATAATATATATATTGATACCGCGTCCATGATTATTAAACTTGATCTTGTATAGTTGTATGTCTACATATATTAGTAACAAGTAACAACAGAAAAAAAAGAAGAAGAACGCCGGACAAGACGCGCGGGAGGGGAGTGGCGGGTCGAAAAACAAGTTGGTCAAATCCGGGGAAACGTTATCGCCGCCACAAGACCATACTACCTATCGCGGTCGTGGTGGGGCCTACGGTACCTATATTGTTGTTGTATAATATTGTTACAAGGTGGAAACGAACGTCGGCGGCCGTTCGTATTATAGCGGTCGCCGGCCGGGTCAGTAGCCCGTAGCGGTATTCCGTCGGTGAGTCGGCACTGTGGTATTCGCGCACCGCCGGCCGTATACACAACGTAATCTCCGTTAACCTTGGTGGCATGAGGCATCTCGGTTCAGTGGTGTGTTCGCGCGCGTTCCCGTACAACGTGTGATTATGCGCGTCCCACGTTAAAAGCTTCGGCTATCGCGGACGCGTGGACAACAATAGTGTAACGATTATTGTTATTAGTTATTACCACTTACCCTTAGCAGTGGTCCCCGTACGGCGCGCCGATTTTGTTTTTGCTCAGTGACATTTTTCATACGCATTTTCATATATGTTTTCTGATCGGGATATAGCAGGTAGTCGCGGTCTCGTCGTATCCACTGTCGCCTGCCTGTTGCTGGCCGTCGGGCTGTCGGTCGCGCCGGTCGCCGGTGCGCTGTTCGGCGCCGGCGATGCGTATTCGTACGTGCTGACCAACACGGTACTGCTGGATGAATCCCGCAACGAGTACGACAGAGGCCGTCCCGTGGGCCACCGGATAACGGCCGGAATCCGGGTGAACGTCGTCTGGCACCATCCGGAACACGGCAAGCTCGTGCGGGTCCGGGCGTCCTCTTCCAGGCTTCAGACCCGGCCCAAGAGTAAGGCGACGGCAAAGGGCGGTGAAGAGTACGTAGACCGCTCCAACTCCAAGCTCGGAGACTTCAACAACAATCCGTTTTTGGTGCACTGGAAAGACGGTCGGGTGCAGAGCGTGTACGTGACGAAGGACACCAGAACGGAGGAAAACTTCAAAAAAGGAATAGCCAATCTTTTGCAGGTACGTGAGTCCAACAAGTACATTATATGCGGAGTTGAGGCCAACGCTTAGAAATAGGATTCCCTAAAATCAAAATTAACCTGGCTTAAATATTTTTATTCGGGTAATGTCCTAGTGCAAACATTTAAATGAAGTCTTAATCTTTAGTGTTGTACTTTGAATTTATTTTTCAGTTCCTTGGAAAAGTGCATCTTCCTTTTAAGGTCAAAGCGTCTAACTATAGTGACCTAAAGATACTACGGTACAATGTCTGTTTAATGGATATTTTTGGCAAATCAGTATTAAACTATCATTGATAATAACAATTAAAAACACCAATAGGCTAACGTTATTCTATGTATCTACTTCACGGTATCAGTGGCGCTACTGAAAAGGGAGGGGGCTTGAATGCTTTAATTCCCAAAACTCCTTCAAGTTACCCAAAAATACAGCTACCATATTAAGTTAAAAAAAAAAAAAAATTTTATTTTTTATTTTTATGAGGGTTTATGAAGAGCAAGATTGATAATTGTGTGTTTTATATTTTTTACGATAAATTTTTATATTATTAAATTAAATTTAACCATCATAGTAATATACTAAAAATTGAGAAAACCCAAAAATCAAACGTTATTTTAAACATATTATTGCTTAGGTGTATATCCATATGTTATTGTCAAAAACAACGGCCTGGCATTCTAACAAGGTTAAAAATATTACCTAATGCATTTTTACTTTCTGTTCAATAGTTCCAATTGTCAAACGTGGACATCTTGGAAGACTCTACACTGGGCCGGTGCAACGTCACTTACAGCAAAATAGCGGACAACGCGGTTTTGAAACAAATTAAAGACTGCACGCCGCCCAAAGATTTGAACTATGTCAAACATCCGGATAAGGTGAGGGTCAACTACTATTAGGACTTAGCGATTTGTTTAATTACCAGGAATGAAAGTATAATCTTACTGTGGTATGGTTTAGATATTGCGAGGCGTCCTCCGGTCGAAACGCGAAGGTCTGGTCAAGTTCAATGACGAAACGTTGACGGAAGTTACCATGGAAGAAGACCACGAGTTCTTTACCGAACTACTACGTGAAACAGGGGCGTCTGTTATTTCAAAACAAGTTCTCAAGCTCACAGGTATAACTCCGAATTATCAGAAACGCGGTATACGATATGTTACCACAAAATTGTTTGACAAACCTAAACTTTGTCTCACGAGAGAACAGCCCTGCGCAGAAACTAAAACGCATTACTCTCGGATGTGCCACCGCAGACAGGAGTGACGCGTTTTGGTTTCTGCGCAGTGCCGTTCTCCCGCGGGACAGAGTATATACATTTAAATCTTACCTAAAGTCCGGTTGAATATTGGACACAAGCGTATTACTGTACCTTCAACACTAATTCCGCAGGGAACGAGTCGAAGGAAAAAGCCGTGATGGCCGAAACTCTGAGTCAAGCGGTCGGCGAACAGGAGAAAAAATTGAAGCTCAAATTTAACAAACAGTCTTTAAGCATAAATCATGAAGTCAAAAACTGCAAACACTATAAATCATGTAACAAAGTAAGTTACGGGCGTATTGCCTACCAAAAAAAACATCACACCGAATACGAATGACTTTTGTTTTTATTTTTAATTCGCAGTTGGAAGACACGGTGAAGAAGCATCACGACGCTTTGGTGGATACGGAACTGGGCATGTCCAAATCCGCTTACGCCTCCATTGAAGTCATCGATGCGATCCGAAACAGCAAAGCGGACGCTATCGTCAAAGTGTTAAAAGACGAACAAAACGAAGACATAGAGTGAGACTCGTTTATTGTTTATGCCTCGATTAAAAAGAAAAGCACGTTGTTGGAATATAATAATAATTACCATTTTTTTTTTTTTTTTAATAAGAATTCAGCTGTACGACTTGTTGGGATCCGCTTTGACGGAAGACTCGCACAAAGCGGCTATGGAGACGTTGGATTTTTCGGAAAACAGCGATTTCGATAAAACGGAAAGGTACTTGTGGAGCGCGTCGGTCAAGTTCAAGCCCAACTTTGAAGTCATACAAAGTAATGCGATACTTAGCGGGAAATGTGCGTTTATATTAACGATGACGAGTTTCAGGTCTGATAAAACTGTCCGAAAAGAAATTGGCAAATGAGAAATTAGACGACACCGTGTTCAACACTATAACAGCTATGACTAGCCGTTTGGTGAGGTACGACGCCTCTGAAAAACATTTGAAGGTGACGTTTTATACTTAGGTGCGTTTGGAAACGTTCAATAATTGTTTTTGCATTTTAGCTTTTCGACGAAATCCTATTGAAGACGTTAGAAAAACTGAACGGATGCAACAAAGGTGACGACGACGAATGCCGTTTGGTGTACATTAGAGCATTGGCCAACCTCAGACATCCGAAATCCATTGACGTCTTGTTGGATATCGCGCAGAACGGAAATAGAAAGTAAATAAGCGTTTTTTCGCTCACGGTAACACTTGTAATTGGAGCTCAGGGCACTAAAATAAATTATTATTAATCACACGGCATAACGGGGCTAAAACAACTTGGGGGGTAGAATTGTATTCTTTGTCACTCCAGTGAGCGCCTACCTAAGCTGCTTGAGAGGTAAACAGCTAACTGACGCTACTTTTACGAGTTATTTTTTGTTTTTAGGCCCAGCACGATCGCCATGAAAACGGTGAAAATATTAGGACCCTCGTTTTGGGATCACAGAGTGTTGAAAGCGTGCGACAAGATCTTCTTTCAGTTGGTAAGAGAGCGCGACAGCAGCGCAAGAATGATAGCGTTGAGTATACTGCTGGAGATGGGCCCGGATTACGAACTGCTGAAACACGTGCTCAAGTGGCTGCTAACGCCCAAAGAAGGATTCGAAAACAAACAGTACGCGTTGCAGCAGCTGAACGAATTGGCTAACCAGTGAGACATTTAAATACAGGCTCTTGTCGACCGTTTGATTATCGGCATGCGCGATAATCCTACACACAACCGCGATCATAACATAATATTTATTGAAAATTAAGAATCACTCTTGGACCTCCTCGTGTACATGGTTCATTTATTTGCAGCGACCGTGGTGCGGCCAAACTGTTGCGGGAAGTGTTGATCCGCGAAAAACTTAACCATTACGGAGTTCTCGCCCAAAGAGGTCTCTCCTCGTCGTTTTCCAGATACTTCCTGGACTACAACAACATTACCGGACTGGTCAAGTCGTCTCAACACATTTACACGGGTGTCACCAAACGCGGTTCGGTCGATATCATCGTGGAACACGACGGCCACCAGTACCACTTGTGCAACGTGAGTGTAAAACCGAAATTCAATTGTCGTTAGGCATTTGCGACTTAACACGATGGCTTTCAGTTGGGTATGTTCACCACGGGTTTGGGATACTTCACGTCGCTGTACGACGATTCCCCCAATCCAAGAGAAACTACCGACGAGGACAACTTGTCGGCCACGGCCGGCTTGGAAATCACGATATTCGGGGTTCACATAAGACCTTTCCTAATGTTCACCAGCCAAGGCCAGTTGATGGGGCACGTTTGGGCTGGAACCGGATCCGAAAGGACGTCAGTCATTCAGGTACCCGGCCGTTTTTCCAAAGACGACCCTCCCCCCCCCCTTAAGCGTTCCACTATATCATGCTATCTACATGTTTCCTACAGGGAATATTCCAGCTGATGGAACACCAGGAGTACCTGCCGCTGAGCACGGGAACGATGGCCGAACTCAGCCTGAAAGGAACCCTGTCGTTGGATATCGCCGGCCAGATGCAAATGAGCCTGTGGAATAAAAACGCGCAATCGTTGATCGAACAAAAGTGAGTAAACACGAGCCGGCGGTTTATTCGTACTTCAATGGTATAATATTACCTATTAACGTTCACAGCGGCGGCATCGGCATACGGGGAGCTCTGAAACTGGACACGGACGTGGTGACGACCGGTGTAGACTTTTCTCTAATGACTGAAGGGTTGTTGCATACGTACAGCGATGCAGAGTTCGCCAACAAAATCGCCTTGTGCATGCAAATCGTCTTGGTGGACTCTAACATGACGTGAGAATCACTGTGATAACAATTAGAACAGGGAATAGAGATTTTAACCTCTTCTATTCAGGACAGTAGTTTACACAGAACTTTATACTGCAGGGAATGGCTTCCAGTTGCAAAACAAAAGATTAAACTTTTTATTTTGAATAACTTCATTACCTAACCTAACCGCGAATTTTAGAATTATTTATTAGCCGGTTGTAAATGATCGCTAATCCCTGCTCAGCACATTTCACTTAGTTCCTACTGAACTATATACCTATTATAGTGGTTTACGAGCGAGTTGTCTTAATTATCGAACATTATGGTTTTGGGGTTCTCTTTGAATAGAATATTATTTGGGACGGGATTTTAGCAGGGACGGATTGGTCGATTTGCAAATGGACATTTTTCACTCAGTTCGCCCCCGTGTGAATTTACCTAAAACACTGCCCCGAACTGCTTAAGCTGATTGTTTGCCTGGAATACTCAATATGCTCTATACTTGCCATAAAGGTTTTGTTATTGTTTCACAGGACGATCACAAGCAAAAACGAAATCGTTCACGGTTACCCCGAGCAAGTGCGAAGGATCAAAACTAGGACTCACCCTGTAGCCGGACGCACGTTCGCGCTCAACAAATTAGTCAATGAATTTTGCAACGACATCCATTCTCGGTAACCACATCCGCTCTTGGCTGTTTTGGTCTAGAATTAATTTTAACAATATAATATGATTTTACCTCACACGCGACTGAACTTTTATATTTTAATTTAATTTTAAGTTTTTGTTAGTCAGAACAAATTTATTTTTTATTTATAAATATATTTGTCTTGTGTGCTACTTTTGAATAATTCTGTAGTGTGTCTCGACATACTGACCATTTACGTTGTATGTTTTATTCGTGTGCATTGTGCGAGTTCACTCTGTATAAACTACCTACGAAGAAATGTTTAATTTAGAATTCAAAATTTACACGCGGTTCCCTAATGTAAGACTATAGTCAATCATTCCCAAATGTTATTATATCATTTTACACTAATGTGTTATGTGTACCTATATAGCTGTTATTTATAAGTTAATGAAACAAAACGGTAGATGTTATTTGAAATATTTTGCTTGGTTTAACAGTTTTATTTATTAATTACACTTGATCAATGATCATTAAAGAGTTTTGAAACAATTTTTCATCATCAGATCGTCCAAAGTTAAATACAACCCGACTGTTTACTATATTATAAATTATAATTTGTATGTTCATGAAATAGTTTAATATTATTTTTTTAACTTTAAAATAACATTTTAAGTATCCAAAAATCAGTCTGTACAATTAACACATAATCTAAAACTGATTAATCACATGTCTTATACCTTCCATAAAGACATATTTTAATACATTAACAAAAATTATAACAATTATTCTAGGTATAAGAACAAAATTAATTTTATAATATTTTTTTTCTTAAAGTACCATTTTTAGCAATATAGAATATAAAAAATGCATTAAAATTACAAAATGTATAATAATAAATGAAATAATAACATCTCAAGAGACTATTCTTACGATAATACATTCAAAATCATTAAGCTGTAGGTAATTGTTAGGTGGTCAAATTCAATCGAGTTGTATTTTCATAGCATTTGATGAAATGTACTCGACCGAATCCAAAGCAATATGTGTTGGAAGTTGAGCGGCGAATAAATATATATTCCTTATCGTCCTCTGTATTCGCCTCTTTGTCCAGCCACCGTCAATACTCATTTCATAAATATCGCTAACTTCTTCCTCGATTAAAGAGTCATCATCCAACAACTCATCCGGGTGTTTATTAGTTTTGGTGTACTCTTGACAAAGCAAAACAAATATTGACTTAATAAAATGACTAATATTTCTCTGGACAAGTTCGCTTTGTCTAGTGCAGTTAAGTAAACACTGTTTCGTGTCGTCACTACTAAATGGCACTAGGTCAGTTTCTATCGCTTTCTCCATAACGCATAAGAACGGTATTTTTTTGGTATGATAGAAAAACGAGAACATTTGACGTAACAAGCGGAAGGTAGCAACTGGACCTATAGTGTCTAGTGTGCTGATTTTTTTTTCATTCAACTCTTCTGCGTACAGGTGTACACGATCTTCAAAGTTCTTGTTAAATATATTTTGCTTTTCTCCAGTTTTCACCGGGCTAGTAATATCATAGTTGTAGATAGCATGACTTAAAATATTATTCAGAACACCGTACGCAGCCTTGTCCGATGTCAGCATATACAGTTTAAATGCGACTTCAGGTTTATTTTTCTCCAATGATAATTCTAGTGTTTTGTCAACGATGGATTTAATAGTATCAACTTCAAAAACATCATGAAATATACTGTTGTCTTTTTCTTGGCCTAAACGTCCAAACATCCAATCACAAACATTTCCATCATACGAGGTTGCTAAATCAGCAACACATTTGTAAAATAAATTGTCTTTTTTTAAAGTTTTTAAATTTCTTAAAAAATAATAATAAAATGAAGCAAAATGGGGGTTGTTAGTTTCCAATTCGGAACAAAATAATAAAATCAATCTTGCATAGTTCAGGCGTACAAACTTTATGTCCACATTCTCGTTTGATAAAAATGGAGCTTGTAAACTTTCTGGAGTAGCGAGTAATTTTTTTTCTTCCAAAGCAATGGCTATATGAACAGCATGATTGGAAAATTTGACGTTGCGGTACAGAAAGTCTATGGCGCTCTCAAAATGTCCAATTAAAAATAAAAGCTCAAAATACACATGGGGCTGGTCCATATAAGGCTTGCCATGGTCCAAAACGTAACGCTGTAATGAACAATAGTCTAATCCATTTGAGTCTTCGGTATATTTACTGGCTAAATGTTCAGTTAACAACATCCATAGTTTGTCTTCAATTGTTTTAGCGACGGCTTTTTTTTCCATATTGGCTTCTACCATACCCAACAGAGAAAACAAAGTCTTTCTAAATGCGTTGTCATACGCGGGAAGTGTTTTATAAAATTTGTTCAATGTAATGCCGACATTGGAACCAACATGATCGGAGGAATTAGCCTCTGTCAAATTAATAAAAACATTTAAAAAGTCACTAAGACTAAGACCGGACTTTTGAATGAAATAATCAGCAACATCCATTTTTCCACACCTCAAACTAAAATAAATCAGTGGCCAAATTGTTTGTTCGTCTATGTGAAATTCATTTTGTTGACTTCCCAGACTTCGTCCTACAGTCATAAACACGTAACTACTTATAACCGAAGCCATAAAGTTTTCGTCATTGTTGATATTTAAATGTCTCGTTTCTTTTATAAGAAAAGCTTGGTACTTGTCTTCTAAATAATTTTTTGCATTTTTAACTAGATTTGCTTGGTTATCTTCAGAAAAACGTTCATGAAATGACCCTGAAGTGGTTTCAAAAGGAGTTATATTAGACATAATATATTTAACTACGTTCCAAATATGAGCAACTGCAGCATCGTCATTGTCTCTTGATATTGTATCTAAAAAATACTCAATTAATTCTTTGTTTGACATATTATCTTCTTTAGACTTGATATAACTTTTTACGTCGGCTATAAAAGAAAATATTTTGGGTGATTCAACATGATTAGGGTTAATCGTAAGAAACTCATTTCTTTTGGTAAGTAAGTTTTGTAGGCAAAATGGTACATCATAAGAGTCTAGTGCAAACTCATTGTACACAATATCCTTCTTCATTTTTCTCCAACTCGATGATATATTGTGCAAAGAGTTTATAGTCTCGTCGCTATCTTTTATTTCTAATTTTTTTATATAATCTTCAATATGTCTTCCCATAAGAGATTCTACACTACTAGAGTAATCCATTATAGGTTTTAAATCTCCTGATGAAGTGACATTGTCTTTGTATGTACATAACTTTTTCAACACACCAGAGTAGCTTGCGAGATCTAAACCACGGTTAGCCAAAAACTCTTTTGCATATTGCTCATCGCTTCCTACCAGTGGTCGCTTCAGAGTGAGATCAGCATTTTGACACAGTTGACGCAACGACTTGTGTATTTTAGACACTGGCTTTGAGTTGACAGTATCTTTACACAGGCTTTGTCCTTGTAACAAGAGGTTTTCTAGATCAGTGGCTGCCATACTTGTAAGCTAAAAATAAAAATACATTATACTTTTAAATAAAAACTATAAAATATATCATAGTTGCAAATGTTAAAAAAATTAATATTGCTAAGTAATTAGTAGAGGAATAGTAATAAATTATTATTTAAGATTAATGTTTTAAACAATTATATTAAAACTTAAGAACACAAGACTAACTTACTGAGAAACAAACCAACGTGATTTTGTGAATTGCAGCTGAATAATTTATAGGTCAACTAGATAATTTCGTTTTGGACGTTCAGAAGTTATTTGTAAGTTATATTTGAAAGCAAACTACTACTAAAAACCGCAGGGAATTTGAAATTTTTTTAAATCTCTTTCCGTAAATTGTTATCAATGTAAAATATGTAACTGGTATAGATAAGCTGGTAACATGCCTCTTTGCAGCTTGACCGTTGCATAAAAAATATGTTTGTGTAAATTGTAAGTTTTGACACCCTGTTTCCATAATGGTATACAATAAGTGATAATGGACAGGTAAAGTAAAAACAGAAACACAAGACTATGCAAATGAAAATAATATATTTTTAGATTATAGAATATCTAAATAATAATAAATATATAGATAAGTATTATATTGTAGTCTATCTGTCTATGTGGCTGTGCGAAAATTTGTCTACACTCTTATTTCTTTACTTTGAGGATTTCCCGTTTAGTAATAATTATTAATTAGGTAAGTGTAGTTATTTGAAATGTGCATTCTGAATTTTTATTAGTTAACCTCCATAAATCTTTTAAAAACAATATACGTCTTTTTTTGCAGCAAATTTCATTTTCGAGATGCCTAGTTGTTTTGTTTGTGGCAGGACAAGGAATGAGAAATCTAAAACTAAAAATATATCTTTTCACAAGTAAGTTTTAAATTACAGTTATGAACTATACAATCATAGTTGACTGCAAATTCATTTTTTTATTTGTAATTATTTCTATAGTTCTTAAAATTAGGTTATTTACCCATTAATTATGACACACTGTTGTAAATAAGTAATTTATATTTTTTATAACTTCATTTCAGATTTCCAACTAAAGAAATATATAGGGGAAAATGGTTTAATTTTGTTGAAGAAAATGCATTAAGCTCGGCCAATGCTACTACAAATAGTTTGATATGTTCTGTACATTTTGACTCATCTTGTTTTGTGATACATCATAATAAAAATAAGAGAATATTAAAAAAAACAGCAGTTCCGTCGTTAATTGTAAGGAGAGTAAAAAATGTAAGTTGTGTTATGTAGAGTATTTTTTAAAAAAAAATTTTATTATATATTTCATAAATCAAAATAACTGTTAAATTATTTATCTTTTTTGTTATTATATATTTTTAGTCCAAACAAATTACTCCTGAAATAGTAAAACCTTCTCGTCGAACTATCACATCAAATAATGAACCGAATGCAAGTACTGGTAATCTGGTTTTTGATAGGATCGAAGTAAAGGTGATTAAATGTTTCTTATTTTTTATTCCTTATTACAACTAATAATACAATTTTTTTAGGTTTGTGTTGACGCTATTTCTAATGCAAATAATATTAGTAAATGTGACGTAAAGGATAATATATCATCAATTTATGTAGATCATGATTCTTGTTCTGATGACAATCATTCTAATCAAGTAATTTTTCTTTGTGATATTTTTCATTATAATTTTATATTAGGTAATATATATATTTTGTAATATCAATTTTAGGTATCCACTGGCTCAAGTTATGATTCAAGCGATATAAGTTCTAATATTTTATTATCTTCAGACGATGAAAATAATATATTGGATGATAATCAATTAGTTCAAGTAATATATTCAATGGTTAAAATTTGTTTTGCTTGTTTAAATTATTTTTTTCTTGTTCTTTTTATAGGTATGTACTAGCAGCATACCTTGCTCTAATAATAGTATAGCAAACACTTCAAATTCAACCAGTACAAAAAAACCTTGCGTTAGTATTGTCTTTAACACATCGATAAAATAATACCATATCCGATAAATTTTTGTAGTTTAGTGTATTTGTTTAATTACTAATTTATGTTAAACTTAATAAATTTTATATATTTTATTAATTTTTTTATTTAGACAAAGTATATAACAACACTGATGGCTGCTAGTGAAGTCACAACTGCTGATTCACCGCGTAGCCGTTTTCTTAAACACGGAATTCAACAACTCGGCAATGAAGTTGTAAGTAAGAATCTGAAACTTAGGACTCTCCAGCAAATTATTAGAAGGCAGGAAAAAAAAATAGCTTCCGTGAAGTCAATGATAATCAAGTTGCAACAGGAAAATGTAATTAATGAAGACGTGGGACTAGCATTGTTGAAATCATTTGGTAAGCACTGCAATTATATAACAAAATTGGCCTTGGACTTTGTTAGGTATAGGATATAGGTAACACAATCAATAATAATATCAGCTACAGCTATATTAGATAGTGTCTTTTATAAATATATATATTTATATAATTTATTATGTTTATCTATGTCAATACCCACACTCCGCAATGGTAGCAATATACAAAATAAAGAAATTACAAGTTCTATAATGTTCTCAGCTCTTGGCAAAAGACAAACTCCACTATTGTATAGTTTGTAAATTAAAGTTTATTTTAATGTAATGTGCTGTCTATTTTGTTTTACACATTTATGATAGCTATTAATTTCTAGTATAGTAGTGCTAAATTTTTTATCCGATATAAAAAACTCCATTTATTACCATTGCATAAGTTTTAATTTGATTATTTATGAAGTATAAGTTTTTAATAATTTTCTTTGCAATCATTTAGTTATATTACAAGGTAAACAAAATAACTTAATGCACATTATTCTTTTTTTGGGGTGTTTTTCTCTTAATAAAAAAAAAAAAAATGTATTTATTTAAAATATATATTGTGCATTTTATTTTATTTTTTATAAGCTATTTTTCCATTACAACTTTTTTGTAAGAACTAAATAAAATTAGATGAAACTATATAGCTCAATTATCTCATACAACAAAATTCAAAAACATTAGCAGTTAAATGGTAATGTCATCAGATTATCATGTACTCTCAGGAATATTTATCAACTGTAAACAGTTGACCTTTAACATGCATTGTTCCCATAACTCAACAAAATTGTTATTCTTAATAATAATAAAAATTGCTAACTATATCAATTGTATGTATTACATTACTGTTATTGTTATTTAAATAATTTAGGTAAGAATTACCAAAGAAAATACCATGTACGGAATGACAAGTCAAATTGATAGATTAGGAGTGTTACCGAATACCAATGACTTTTTATCGCACTGCAGGCTGAAAGAAAAGCAATGGCTCAAGGATTGTATCCACAAAACGTTTAAAATAGTAAGTGGCAATATTAATAGTGTAAATATATAAAAAGCCAGCACAGTTGGTCTTCAGGAATTATTATATCTATACCCTGTCCGCTGAGAGGACATGCCGCGACCCGACGAAAATTGGCCGTTCTGCACATCCCAGCACATCACCCTGTGTGACTATTGTTCCCCCTGAGACAGCCCTACCTTCCAGCCTGTCCTCGGCGGATGCTTGGTAATCAGTCTGCATGCGCAAACCCGGTATGTTCTCTCAGTGGACAGGTTATAAAAGTGATTAGTTCACTATCAAATAAACGCTTTGATGCAAAGCTGTAGATGGTAAAACCTTTTAAATACAAGTAAAATAAATTATTTTTTAGACAATTAATGTGTCAATAATCATGTTGTTTGGTTTTTTGGGGGGTTTTCTCAGTGTAATAATAAGTGTAACTACAGATTATTTGAAATTAAAAAAAAGAATAATAGCATCATTTATAATATGTCTTCAATTATCAATTTTATAAGAACTATAGTGTTTTTAATTTTTTTTTATGGGGAAGGGGGCTTTTTTTTACTACGTATATAAATTAGTTCAGCGGCTTAAGAAATGCCAAGAAACACAACAAAAATAATAATATTAAAAACACTGTACAAAATGATCATCAGCCACATGAGAAAACTATTTTCTTGAATAAAACATTAAATAATACACATTTAATTCAATGTTTTGGGTTTTGTTATTTCAAGTGTTCCATAACGGATGTTCAAATGGTCAACAACAAACAAATGTATGGCTTGTATTTGCTGCGTAAAGCCGAGCTTGAACTTGAATGTAAAGTGGAAGAGCGACTACTTTACCACGTGACCAGCAGGGAAAACGCAATGGCGTCGTTGGAAGAGGGATTGGACTGGCGCAGGACGAAAAGGGCAAAATTCGGCAAAGGCGTTTCGTTTAGCGACGATGCCAACTACGCCAACTATTATGCGGCCAAGCATAGTTCAGGTAGGTTCTGGCAGAATATAACATTGTTTACCAATAACGCAATAGTGAGTTAAAGTATATGAATGTAAGACCCTGAGTGCTCTTTTGTCCAATATCTTGCAGTAATAATATTCAACAGGTTCAACCCCAAAATTTTCAAAATATTTAACCATATTGTTAGCCTCTGTTGTATTAATAATATGTCGCTTGTTTTGTCCATTCAGGCAGTCGAGCTATTCTCGTGTGTTCAGTGCTAATAGGCAATATTTACAGACTGAAACCTTTGGCAAACAAGTATGATGTTCACAGCATTGAGTACCCGCCATACAGATACGACACAACTCTGAGTTCTTCAGAACGAGTGTACGTCAAGTACAACGACTTTGAGTTCTACCCCAAGTACGTTGTGTTCTACATCACTCCGAGCTTGAACCAGTGTAGACGTCTCAAGGAAAAAAATTGCAATGCTTACATCCGACCAATTTTGGTGACAGAGTTCCAAAAGACGTTGGCGAAAGCTGATAAATCGAGCTTTTACGAAGACTGTGTCGCAAAAGTTGTTATTATTGGCCTAGTTTTTTATTTTGTATTAGTTCATTACGAATATTTAACCTAAGCCTGTAGATGCATATAAGAAGTGTGACTTGTTGAATATATATATATATATATAAAGCCTTAAAATTATAGTTCTCTTGTCTGCAATTGCAGACTTATAAATTGGACACTGGTCTAATTTCTAAGAGTATTTACTATTATACAAGACTTAAATTTATCTAATAATCAGTATAAATATATAATTTGTTTTGTAAAAAAAATATCACGTATTTATTCAAATAATATTATGCGAGTTAAATCCAATAAGTAAAAATATATTCAAAGTAGTTATTTGTACCTAATTAAATATATATATGTATAGATTAGATAGCAGTCTAACACTCATCTTCGCTTAAATATTTCAATAACCGAGATGTGTTGCAGTATACTTAGTATAAATTGAAACGTTTATTTTAGAAACTCTTTTAGTACATAGGGGTTCTGTTGGCATTAAGTGGGTTTCTGAAATATGCGATTCATAATATAACGTGTAAAATATTGACTTTGAAAAACAAAACAACATTAAATACTTCTATATTATACATTTTGTCAATAATTAGAAAGCTCAAGTATTTAACCTATTACTGCCCAAGTAAAATTTGCTCATACATTACCTTTGTTCAAATATTTAAACTTAAAATGTTTTCATGTTGAAATATGAGTTTTAGTTATTTAATACAAAATAATCAATTGATAGATTGTAACCGTAGTATTCTTTGGTAAAAAAATAATGGATTCAGTCTTATGAGTAGTCCTAAAGATGTGCAACATATTGACTCGGATTAGTCTGAACTAAAGTTTAGTCAGAAAACCTGTATGCTTTGCCTAACATATCGGATTGTCCAGATGTTCACTAGAGTTTTCTAACGAAGATGATGAAGCAGCGTCTTCCTCGTCAACTTCTGCGTAATTATCAAATTGTTGATAATTACTAACTCTATAAAAAAAATAAAAAAATAGTAGAAAATAATAACATTAATTATAATATCTCATTGTTAATAATTTTCTACTAGGCTTTTAGGTAAAATAAAGTAATCATAATTTAATAGTTATACAAGAAAATAAATATCTATTTGTGAATATAATGTGCATGGTTAAAATGATTTTATAATAGGTATATAACAAGCATATTAACTAACACAATCAAACAAATAGTAATTCTACCGAAGAAAATCAAATTCTAATAGCAAAAAAAAAAATAAATAAACTTAAATCTTATAATAATTTTTTTCTCTAATCTCGCCTACATGTGTATATATTATATATAAAGAATAACAATATTACTTCTAAGTTCAATACATTTTAGATTTTACAACTACTGTCTTATTCAAATAAAATAAAATAATAAAATATGACACAGCAGAATCATTAACATAAAAACATGATTTTAAAAAGAAAATTTGACAACTAAAAAAAAAATTTATATTAGGTGCAACCATTGAGATCATAAATTCGCGAACTCCTTTGACTGAAAACATTAAAGAAAATTGGATTTTTATTATCCGGAACATTTTTTTTTTTAAATTATAATACCACCACATTTTTTTTGGCGCGACAAGACATTATTGCTGATTGGTAAATGGCTTTTTCGCAAAAAGCAGACGATGGCTACAGTATAGTAAACATGCAATAAGCTACAACATGCAAAATGCAAAATAACAAACGTGGCACGTACCTGTAAAACACATAATGCTGCAAGAAGAATAACAAATCGAAGATAACGGACAATAGACCGAGACCGAATTTCGTTGGATCACCAAATATTGATTCCCAGTCGTCTAAAGCAAAAAAATAAAATAATAATCAGGTAGAAATACAAGTTATTATAAAAGGAAGACTAAAAATATTTACTGTAATTGTACGCGTTAATAATCATTTGGAAAATACTCAGAATGCCTCCAGTGAAGTCCATAAATATGTTGCCGATACTCCAGCCAACCGTGCTTTGTCGTCTATAATTCATTATAGCCTAAACATGACGACAATATATAATAATAACAAACTAATCATAAAAATGATAAAGCAATTTTCAACTCCAAGTAAAAAACCTAGAACAGACACTTACTTGTGGAATGTATTTAATAAGAGTAATCGACAACTTGATGTACGAACAATAATATAGGAAATCCAACCATGAAATTGTTTGTAAATTAACAATGATCAACAGTACAGCAACTATTACACTGTACAAAAGTAGAATTAATTTTGCTGTCCGAGAAACTTGTTGATCACCTCTCTGCCACATGAAACGACAAAATTAGAAAAATTTCAATTTCATTAGAATATAATATGATTGGCACCAGCCGTGGTTATTATTAAGATTTTGATTATGCCAACTTATTTTCTGGTTAATTTGTATTAAGTCAACAAAAATCGATCTCGGATAAGTAAATTGATTATTTGTTGTAAAAAAGTGAATGCAAACACATTTGGCAATGATCGCGAATGAATTTGTCTTCTTAGGGACTTCCAAACACTTGTTTTATGTGTTATATCAAAATAATTTTAGTATATTTATTAAAACCATCTTTAACAACCTCATAGCAAATACATTGGAAGACTGTAATCAATGTGGCAAACACGGCGTGAACTGAGAAGAATATATCGTTTAGTTGAACTGGATTATGACCACGAGGAAATCGTTCAAAATATTCTTGCTGTTAAACACAAAACAAAATTAAATTAATCAGAAGATAATGGGGGGTGTTAAATAATCTAGATATACTTCAATTTCAGGTATCCACAGGCCAATGTTGAACATTGAATAGAGAATAAAGCCAAGCAAGTTCAAGCATATGAAGTCAAAATTTAGTCCAACAACGCTGCAATAAAAATTAAACAATTACAAGACATTGAATGGTATGTAGCTAGGTACTGTTGTTCTTAGCTTTTTGTATCGTGGCTAAAAATAAAGTACTAAGGGTTAAGATGTTCAAATTGGGTTGTTTTTTATTCAAACGTTATAATAAAAAAAAAAAAAAGAGTATTTTATTTCATTTGTGTGACCAAACTTTTGTTGAAATGAAATAAAAAACAATGCATAACTAGGTACAGATAGTATAAATACATTTTGTTTGCACTTGTAGATTATTAAAAAAAATTAAAGCCAAAAAGATTACCTTTTTAAAGATATTTACCTTTTGCGAGACCAGTTTTCATACATTTGAGGATAAAATGATATAGACCAGGCACAAAAATAAATCCATCCAATTACAACACTACCCCAAGCCAAGTCGTTTGAATGTTGTATAGTTACTCTAACAAAAGCATCGTCAGCCCTAAAATTCAAAATCAAAAGCTGTAATTAATTAATAAAACAAAAATCTAGATAAATATTTTCCTAAAACTAATATAACAAAGTAAATGAGGATGCAGCTTGATATTTTTTTTTTAAATCTTTTTCTCTGACAAAAATAAGGTGTTATAATAAATAACAACTTTTGCAGTTTGATTATTTGGAAATCACTTAAACTGGGATCACCAGCAATACCCATTGCAGCTAATGTGGTTATTATTATTAATGTTTTATTTCATAAATATTAATTAATAAGATGTTAATTATAATGATTAATTTAACATATCAGTGTACAGATAATTTGACAGTTTTGATGACTAAACTAAATATAATTAAAAATAAAATCATCAATTATTAGGATTTAATTGTTAAACAACAAATTGTCTTAATAAAAAAAATCTTTAAACATTATTTTTATATGCTAAATATCAAATGAAAAACAATATTGTTCTTTTTAAAGTCAAAAACCAGTGAAGTTTTTATATTACAAAAATGCTTAATAATTATTATTTTGCGACTCGTTTAATTGAAGTAACCTATTTGGTCTTGTGTCAAGGGTGAAGCATTTAATATTGATTTACAAAATGAAAACTGAATGTTAAGCACACAGTCTTTAAAATTTATTTTAGTAACCTATGAAAAAAAACATAATCTACTATTATGTATAATTGTATGAAAATATGAATGACTTAAGTTAACGAGTTCAGGTGTTTTAATTTATCATATGATTTCAGCAGTTAATAATGAAAAATTTACTTGATATTTTTTGATGAACAATTGACTGACAATAGGTCGTGACCAGCGTCATGGGTAAATAATTTGATTGCCCATTCTTGAGGTTCTGACGATGCATTTACTGTTATTCCAGTTGTGTTTGTAGTTAACAAATCAGGGTGGTTGTTGTGCAAGACAAATAAAGAGTTTTGCGTTATGTTTTCACTAAAAAAAATTATCCAACAGTAACATTGTTAGTTTATTTAAAAATAAAAGACAAAAATGTAGAATTGAAAAATGCTTACTTTAAAAACAATGTTATAGTTTTTGTATCGTTTACTAATAGTGTCAAGTCCTTAGTGTCAAAGTATAAACTTGCATGAGCTTGGGAAAAGACTATACCTAAAAATAGACATACATTAAATACCTACAGAAAAAATATTAATTTTTTTAAATTAAACTTTATGTTTACTTACTTAATACTAGAAACAAACATGAGAGGTGAGAAATACCCTTCATGGTGTTGCCGAATGACACAAGGATCTGCAATGGAGTAACTGGAAGAAAAAACAAACCATTAGAATATTTCAATGACGCAATAACAAACTGACTAACGATAGCTCCGCTAACAGCCGTCATTAACAGTTTACACAAGTGTTCATGCACGTATTTTTTGGCATAGGAAAAACAGTATATGCAAGTCAATTGTATATTACAATAGTCAAAATAAGAGCAAAATTAAATTTAAAACCTAACTACAAAAAATAAAATAGAAAGAAAGTTTAAAATCTATATTAGGTGCAGATAGTTTATTACCTTTATACCGATATTCTACGATTGTTAAATTTAGTGGCAAGGGATGAAACGTCTCGAGAGACGGTGTTCAATGTGTCCAATATCATAAAACAAATACAAATAATCATAGCTGACATTTGTTGACGAAATATAATTGATTAGTACCCAACAAAAACGGTCAATATCTAATCTAAACCGTTAGAACGTTTTTTTTTTTTTTTACAGTAATAAATTACATTCTACATGACTTTAATAATGCAAAACTACAAACTCGAAACTACATTGTTATATTTTGTTTAGTTTTTCTATAGGTACCGAGTGCTAACGAAAAATAAATAAATATTATCATTTATCAACATAAAAAAAACATATGAGTTGTGAGTGATAAGAAAACAATATGCCGGTATGCGCAGTGGTGTATAGGTAAATAAATAAATCATTTGTGGGTATACACTATTTTTTAAACTATAATTAGAAGAAAAAATTCTCGTACCGCTTGAATTGGAGACCTACAATTATCTACAATTAATTTAATCACTAAAGAAAAGAAAAAATAATTTTTGAGACACCAGCTTAGTAAGTACCTACTCTGTTTAATATATGTTTTTTTTTTTTACCACATAGTAACTGATCAATCTATGGTTACTCTGTACGACGTATAACAATCAAACAATTTATCAATAAATAATGATTTTGTAGAGAGTATACGTTTTATGTTAGCCGTATACATTGTATTATTGTATCACATCATTTGAACGTAGATGTACAATCAAAAATAGAAAAGAGAATATACGCCATATACCCGATACACCACTGGTGGTCATATTGATGCCTGATCATTTTCCTATAGTTATCTAAATTGGTTATAACTTATAAGTCAATAATTTAATACAATTTCTTACAGTTCTATAATAATTACTGTAGAGCCCGGAATTTAATGTGCTAAAAACAACCAAAATAGGCATACGTTTAGGCGCTAATAAATGCTAATAGTGGCCTATATATGCCAATAACTAATAAACCTCCAAATATAGGTACACTTAACATTTGTATTCTTATTATTTTTAAATATTATTTATAGTTTTTAATTTTTTTAATATGTTGAGACTATTTTTAACAATAAAACTTATAGATAAAATAAACTTTTTTTTAACATAAATGATACAAATTATATAAATAAAATACCTAACTGCCAACATTTTTTTTATTTTCCATATTAATTATCTATATTCATTTATGTTGTACTATATTTTTCTATTTTTCAAAAAAAAAAAAAAATGTATTTTACATACTATATTGCCATTATTTTATTAGTACCTACTTTGAGGTACACAACATTTAAAAAAATGCAAAGTTTGAAAGTATTAAAAAATATGCGTTTATACATTCATTCATTTTTATTATTTATATGAAAAACAAACCCGAAATATGCTAGAATATGCAAAATAAATTGTTGAATTTGGATTCTTTAAAACGAAATTCAAATTTGTAGTTTATCTAGCTATTTTCCGAACCATTCTGTAAAAACATGCAAATGCAACAACTCACAGGTCTTTATTATTACATTCGAAAATCATATATTACAACAATTATTGTTATCAATTAGATAATCGCTCAATGCTCATCAATATAGACTATAGTCGATGGTAATCAATTAAAATCTTCTGACCGTCATTATAGTACCCACTGCGACCAATCATGGTTTATTGTACCAAAATAATTGTGAACAACAAAATATTCTATTATTCTTTTGGGTTGGACATTTCATCCATACTAGGTACAACTCGCAACCGTATAATACAAACTGTCCCTTGAATATAGATAATTTAATGCATTGGGATTGACCTTAGAAACCGTTTCCAAGTTAAAACCACTTAGTAAATAGATGACCTTACGAATCGACAATTAATTATTACATATGTATTTTTAATCTATTCCACAGCACGCGCGTCAGCATAATCTATAAACATAATATTTAATTAGTATTCATAAGACTATAAAACACTAGATTTTTTTTTAACGAGTAATGTTACCTACTAGAGCTAGATGAAACATATAACTATTGCGGGCGCTCTATTCTAATTCTACCCGGAAAGGAAATTCAAATATAAGAATATTCGAGTACTACGGTCGTTAATGGAAAACTATTGGAAACTATATTTGAAAATACAAATCACAAATTTCAAAATCGAGAATAAAATAAGTCACAACGACACAGACTACGTGCATTACCAAAATCAAATAATAAAACCATTAAAACCCATAACTTGTTTTTTATGTCGCTTATGTATTTCCCCCCTACTAACGATTCACTATGTGTGTCACGGTATATTGTTATTTACTATGTAAATAGCAGCTGCTGTTATTATAAGTTGACCGCGGTCAATAACTAGTTTCTTGGTCGATAACCGCACGGCGTTTAATATCCTTACTATATGTTCAAAAAGGTACCGCTAGCATGTGTGTACCTAATTATTAATGTAAATAATAATAATTTATGATACGGTATTTGGCGCGTTGTTCGAATTCAATAAAACAAAAAAAGCGGTCTGGCCAAAACAAAATATATTTGCAATAACGCACTCCTAGCCCGCCACAACTGAGAATTTATAGTTTTGAGAAAAATCGACTTGAAGTTTAAAATTATGATATCACAAAGTAATAGCGTTGGTTCTTTACCCGACGCAATAATGCTAAAATGTCCACAAATTATAAAATTAATTATCTCTATGCGATGTTGATTTTCGCTCAACACATTACACGAAAATTTGTTTTTATTCAATGCAAGAACGCTACACATCGAAATAACACAGTCAAGTATTTTGATTTTGACGATTAGTTGGATAAAAAGTAATACTGCCGTAAAGTAAATACGGCTCCGTTGGCTGTTGCTTTGATAATTGACTAAAAACTGATAAGGAATCATTACTGACACATGTTTTTGGTGGCTAAATACCAAAAATCATGTTTAACGTGGCGTTCTTGCAATATAATAAGTATAGAGCTAATTTTTTTAATACTGGAAAGTAAACAACATAATTGGTGAATTGTTGAGTTGTGCCGGTCTGGTTCTAGGGGTGCGTGCCATATGATAATTACACATACTTACCGTCCACTATGTGTATTACGGTTGTTATTAAAATGTCGACTTACTCTAAAGTAATATCAAGACCGATTGACAGAGGAGACTTGCTAGATGTCTCGTCGACGATTGGACTGCACAAGCACCCGGAGGAAATGCACTGACGGTTTCGGGCGCGGAACAGCAAAGAAGGAAACGGAAGGAGAAGAGAGGAGACAAAAAAAAAAATACCGTAAGACAAGACTACGAGTATGATTAATTACCGACGAGCCTTCGGTCATGCGTGGGACTCTTGAATGATAATAACAACAATGATAAACGGATCGAGCAAGATCGTTTTGTTCATCGACCGGTAGGAACAACAATATGGTCCGAACGCGCAAGAGTCGAGTCAGGCTTTTGGGCAGGGTGGGAGTTAGGTTACGCGATAAAAAAAGGGAAAAAAAAAGTTGTAAAAATCCAAGTACGCGAAACGAGTATGTATAAGACGATGATGTTTTAATTACCCGGATCTGCACTATGCATGTATACAATTGTTACAATAACGAACGCGCGACAATAACCATCCGAACTGTTATCATCGTATCGTAACACTGAATTCATGTGTAAATAGAGTACACTATCGGTGATCCGTTTCGACCTCGAGGGGGCAATCGTCCGCCTTTCCCAGAGAATTTTTACTCAGACTGCGTCTCCCACCTATTTGGACTAGGCCAAGACTGTGTTTGCCACACGGAAATATGTCCGTTGTCTTTTCGCCGTTGGGATCAAACGCCAAACGCTAAAAGAGCTCTGTAGGTACATGTGACATTATAACCCAGAGCAACTAATAAAATATTGAGTTCGTCCTATAGGGTGGTCTGACTGGTGATAGCGCCGGAAGGTATATATAACGGGAGGAGGTTAAGTCTTCCACTTCTTAAATACACTGCGAGACTATAGAGGAAAATATACTGCGATATTGAATTGTCTCGATTACGATCGTGTAAAAATCAATTGAACAAGTCTCAGCTGAGAGCAATCCTCGACATCTGACATATTAGAACGTATGTTACAAACCCAACTCAAGTTCTACACCGAACTGTTGGTTTATCGATGAACTGCGTGCCTTATATTGTTATAAAATATCAGCTGGGATACATATGAGGTACCACTGTACCGTTGAAGAACTGTTATTGAATTATTTTTGCATTTAAAGTGCACGATTTTTAATTTAAACAGCACGTACGCACGAAAACGTAATTCGAAGAAAGTAAACCATAGTAAAGCGGTTCTTATATTAAAACGACATACCTAATATTAACAATTTCATAATTGCCTACACTCGAGTTTGTTTTTTAACGAGTCAATCGATTATGTTTTTTTCTATTCATATCCAATTATTATAAAAAAAAAAAATTACAAACCGTCGGTACAACGATTTGAAGTTGGCCAAATGTATAGGCTTGCAAAGGTGCCCTATGATCAATACGACAAACGGCAAAGTGTGAAAATATCTAATTAAAAATCCCAAGTCGAAACGAGATTTGATAGGTCAACAGGCCGTTTCGATTGCCATTATATATTAAATGAATGCCATTATATGAAAATCGCATTCAGTCGAATCAGTTTTCTGTACGACATTGTTGGTACATAATGCGCTTTTGCCTAGTATTTTAAATAAATTATAATAGGTATGTAGGTTTACCAGAACGCATCGGGTCGCCCGCTGGTTAACCTTGTCGGCTAACTTTAAAAAGAACGTTAAGTACTTCTGGCGAAAACATGATTTTTGTCGAAAATCACAATTACCGCGAGTTGTATCTAATTGGACCGCAGCGAGTTTTTAAGACTTAGCAATGATTAGGCAAATTATCAATCTGTTAAACTGTTGCTAAAACGATCTGTGCATTACATCATGTATGCTATACGACATGTGCTATGCGGTACTTATTATCTATAATAGACTATATGTTTTTTTCGAACGTAAACCGCACTTCAACAATTATCGCGAGTGGCTATATTAATATTCATTTAGTATTAATCGAAGGCAATGAACTTGTTTTACTCTAAGGTATATGTCAACATTGCGCCAACGCCATCGGTCGCAGTGAAATGTATAATGTATTCATTTTTTACATAATATAATAGTTGTGTGTTTGACATGGCTCAACGTCCTATTCTAGGATATTTTGTAATTATTGTACAATGCAACGAAGCTGTCCGTCGTGCCCGACGTCGTTAGTATGTTTAACGTTAAACTAAGTTTCAATAAAATAACCGTTTTACGAATGATCGGCGCAGGAAAAAAACGAGGATCGGATGCGTTCAATTTGCTTATAAACAGTCAATAATGATTGTTTCCCCTATATCTATCAGCGTTAATTGTTATTATGCGTAATCGAGTTAATACGCGGTTATCGTGTTTTGTATATTAAATGATATTTGTTTGGGATTTATGCGATTCCCCAATGTTTGCACGTACTTGTTTCTATTAAAGTCCGACTCGACGGTACACCTACATAAAAAGAAAAATCTTGTACTAGATGAGAAAAAAATATATGTAATTTTTTGTTGGCCGCAATGCCCTCGTCTATACACGCACACACACACACACGGAACTATATTATAGACCAATGCTGCATTGTCCGAGGTAATAATAATTGTAACGTGAACTTGACTGGGACGCATTATTATAAATTAACAGCGCCACCGGCTAAACATGTATAATATTAATAATAATAATATTGCATCATTTATGTGATAATATGTTTTCACAGTTATTTATATATATATGTATATAATATAATATTGTATAATATACTATTTATTATAATATCTAATGCTAAGTTGTATCTATACCTACCTGTTCAAATCCATTAGACACTAAACGTTTGCCGGTTTTTGGCGCACCGTGATATTATTCAAAAACATCCCAGTTTACTATTAAAGACGTCGATTACGGTCGTATATTTTCAATGGTTCAAAACATCATTGCCTTCACTTGATCGGCTAATGATGACGACATCAGCTGTTATAAGCGATATTGTATTGACTTGTACCGTAGGTACACGAACGGGATAACGTTTAAACGTTTTGACGTACAGAAAATGTCGCAACCACTTGTACGCACACAATATTGCAGATTTGTCTAATAGCCACTGTGTAATTAAGGTGCACTTGGCATGTGTGCTAAAACAATAGACGCAGAGAGTTATGTTATGGCTATCGATGCACGTGGCAAAGTTATCGGTTCGATAACAAACGACTAATTGCATGTAATCAAATAATATTATAATCGGTTGTTGGAGTCTGTTGGAGAGATGATATCATCTGTTATTTTGTGTTCCCAAAGGTCAGGCGTGATAATATGTAGATAGTATACGACCCGCCGAAACTAGAATTTCCCAAATCGTACACGATTACTATATTATCAGTCATTAGACTTTAAAAAGATAAAAATGTGTGTGAAATAGGTACAGAAACGATGGCGAGTAGAGAAAAGTATGGAGTCGGAGGATTATAGGATCCCGCACTTGTGTGTATAAGGCGTACAAGAAGATGGACACCGTTGACATGATTTATTAATTATTATTGTGTATGAAAAGGATTACCATGGTTGTTAATCAGGATCTATCTAAAAACCATAGTATCTACTGATAGAATATAGGCTGTGGTTTGTAAAAACATTTTAAAATATGTATATCTCGTTTCCTTTTGCCCAATACAGAAAAAATATATATTCCGAGATTAGCCGTAAAATTGTCATCTAAAATTGATAGGTTACATCAATACATTTATTTTTATCTTAATTGTTCTTTAACTAATCTCTTAATGTTTTTTTTTATAAAGAACAAACAAATATAAGAACACTAATTTATTTGTATTAGATAAAAAATAATTAATATCGAGACTTCGAATAAACTGATTAAGATAACTTCCAAATAAGTCCATATTAATAAAAACGTATTATTTCGTGAAAAAATGTTTATGGACAAATTAGCCACATCTTGATGCCACAAACAGTGATATCAGACTATTACTTTCAAAGATATTGCAAAACGTATGTTTTCCGCCTATTGCAGTAAATGGTACCTATAAATCATTTTCTTTTGATCGACCTGAACAACTTTAAAAAGGGGATTTATCTGATTGTTACTCAAGCCCTTCAATTCTGATCCCTGAATGTTTTATTTTCTCACTAATTTCTTTTGCTAAAATGTAAACTATTTATGGAATCTATGAATTTATGTGCGATTTATTATAAAAGGGACTTTTATGACAATTAATGCCCAATAGAAATTCAATTAGTAAAAAAGTAATATTTTATTAAATTTTCCAAACTATACTATATCACATGTGACTGGAAGTAATTTATAATTACAATCATTGACATTAAGTCAATAATAAATCGAAACAATTTGTTTTGTGTATTCTGTAGTGTAATTATTATTAATATTTAACTTGTGACGGTTTGTCCGTATTATATATTATTAAATGTGTTTTTTTGTAAATGACTTAAAAATCGGTTTTAAATTATAATGTTTCAGTTTTTATGGCATATTTTGAAAAATTATCTTAATTTGAAATAAAAATATTTTTTGAAATAACTGAAGTGATTTTGTTTGATGAAATATAATTTTAATAGTTAGACAGTGGTACAAATTTGCGATACAAATTTAAAAAAAAAAAGAGAGAAGAAGACGTATCTGAACGTCTTGTGATGATTGAAATTTCCTATATAGTTCCCATTTAAACGAGTTATAGCTTTTCTGACTCATACAAACACTACAATTACTAGTTTTAACTTTTATGTCATATGTTTTAATGTTTACTCACTTTTGGGTGACATTTAAATAATATTTACATCCCACAAAGTAAAATCTTGAAATTGACACAAATCCTAAAAGTTTTTATTCATAAAAAGTTACCACGTGACTCCTACACAATCGTATAACACTCTTGGGACTATATAGATTACAATGTAATATAATAGTATCAATATAGAACCTAAACTACTAAATGGTTGTTTAGTGAACGCGTTAAACACTTAAAATTGTTGCTTGAATATGATATAAAATCAATTTGATCGAACGTCAAAATATTTAATATGCTTAAATGATTCAAACGTTAAAATATGATTATGTTACAAGTAATAATCGGAACAATTCGGTACCTATAATTCAATCATGTCAAATAGTTAACATAACACTAAACACGTGTCAGTAAATAATTATAGTAGTGATTATTACATATTATTGTTTACCAATATCATACTAGTAAAACGTGTGTTTTACGGCGATATATATTTTTACATTATCGCGATTGCGTTACATACTTAAATTTATTAGACATTTTTACAAATATATAATATATTATTGGACATTTTTATTTTGGGCGTGTGTATATGTCCTAAAAAGAAGATTAAGCGTGTACGGATTATGAGGAAGCACACTTACCGACTAACCCATGTATATGAGTATTAACAAGATGTATAGGCACTCTTTACCGAGTAGTTTAATAAACAATCGGAACGTAACCTAAGCGGAGTTGTTTTGTAGCCAGCGCGAGTGATGTATTACAATAATACCTAATAATAATAAATAACAATTTGTAATTCACATACTTGGACGTAACGCAAATATCTAAACCTATAACCATAAAGCCCATTCTAAAAAAACCAACACCGCTGAGGTTATGCAACCTTTGTGGAAGGTCAACTGTTGTGTGAAGTATTGATGGCAATGTTATCTAGGTCATCAGACGCGGAGACGACACAAATATATAATAATAATAATAATTACAACTTAAGAAATAAAATATTATAAAACAACCGTTGAGCTAAAATAGTATTATTTGTTTTTTATTAATTCAGCTACAAGACAAATGAAAACGTGTTACAATGGTAATAATAATAATAATAATAATAATAATTATACATAATAAACTACTTTCCAATCGTAATATCCGGTAGATAAACACTTTATGTTTTTTACATAAAAAATGAAAAAACTCCTACCATTAACAACGACAAAAATAAAATAAATATACATAATAGTTAACAAACTGTTCTTAAATGTGACTAATTTTTGTTATTAAACTATTTAAAATATATTTTGTTAGATAAGTTTGCAATAGTTTAATTCAGCTGCGTTTTGCACCGTCGTTAATATTTTTTTTCTTACTTTTCTATTGTTAATTAATTTGTAATGCGTCAAATATACGTGTTATTAAAAAAAAATTATAATATGGCTCTAAACCTCAAAAACGTTTTTATAACGCCAAGAGTAGGTATCATTTATAATTTGAGTGTAAAAAAAAAATAACTATAATAACATACAAAAGGTTGTTGACAAGAAGATATTGAACGTGACGTGGAAGTGATGAAACTATTTTAAGACAGTATCCCGAAAGAACGTACCCTAATCCCTATTACATCAATTTGATTTTGCATTTTTTTCAAGTTTTTTATCTCAATGAAAGACACCGTGCACTTGGGATTCGGATCGTTCTCTCGGGATACTCAGCTGTGTAGAATGTTTAGTCGGTAGTTTTGCGTAGTTATAGGTACGCCAAGCGATCAGTCTAAAGGTATTTAGACTTATATTATATCATCAATTTAATACATATTATAGCGGAAACTGTGCGTGAGTTAGGTATGAAATTATTTGTTATTTTGTACTCTCAAATAGATAAGAAAAGAAAAATACTAACAATACGATCTAACTGATATTAACTACCAAGGCACCTAAATTTCAAACTGCTATGTATAGTATAAAATAAAATACGAACAAAAATAATAAATAATATTCAACAGTATTAATACACTTATATAATATTACATTAGACTAAGTCTAAATTGTACGTCGTTTTTCCTTATCGTCTAATTACGTAATCTATATAATCATATAATAATATAATATACGGTCTAACAAATTTTTTTTCGTAAAAATAAACCCTAAAATAAATTGCTTTTTCGTTTCAAAAAAAAAAATGAAAAAAAATACATAATAGAACATCACAATAGTTCATTGCGCAATTTGTACAATTCGATTACATTCAGTTGTTGACTAGCTTTAAAAAAAAAAAAAATCATTCTTAATCAATACAATTAATATTCACCATAACACTATTATCACAATCAATCGATTTTCCCTTCGGGCTTAAAAAAAAAAAAAAATACAAGCATATCCGCCGCATTTCAATGCCTATACATATTTGTATATGTATATTGTATAAGGTTTTGTATATGTCATAACGCTTTATGATTAAATATATTATGTAAGTTTGTTTGTTTTTTGTTTTGGTCAAAATCTGTATAACAATATAGTTTATCATATAATTAAAATGTAATATTTTTGCATATACGAATGGAGAGCACATACGAATGAAAAAACCAAAAAAATGTACAAATTTTTGGATATAAAGAAAAAATAAACGTTATAGAAGAATAATAATTACTATATCGCGTTTGTTCTCTAATACGGCCGTTTATTTGGTTATTGGCTCGACAAAATACAATCAACATTTACAGTATACCTCAGTCTATGCCTTGCTAGGTTTGCAAACTTTAGAAATAATTCCAAACAAAAAGTCTTGTATGTAATTTTGTGTTTATTGCTTTCAATATTGTAACTTGTATTACTCGTTAGGATATTATTCTAATTATGAAATTTGAAACTGATCAGGCGCCTATCTAGAAATAATAGAATGGTAATCCAAGAAAAACTAGTAAATCATTTTTTTTTCTAATGGGGTTAATGCCGTTTTCATACTCTCCTGTTAAATTTAATTAAATACAGACAAACACCAAAGTAGAAGCCCCAACCGGTCTGTGCCTGAAATGTTATTTTGTTTGTCGACTAATATACTAATATACTTTTGGCGGCTATTTAAAATCTTGTATGTCTCTAATACAAGCTCTTTGCAGAACATTAAGTAGGTACATAAGTTAACATTAATTACTATAAATTAGAAGTGAGTATATAATCATTAGTATACGAGTAGAAAAATGACCTAAACGAATTTATTGCTATTTTTCAATGATGTTTCTAGGATAGACATTCAAGATACTTCTTAAAATATTATAAAATTATCACTAGTGTTTTAATTATAATATTTACAAAAATAATTTATTGCCCGCATTTTGATTACACGTTTTGTTTAATGTAGGTTTGTATACATATATAAAAAAAATAAGTTGAAAACATTACTAGTTAAAATGTTATCGACCATATTTCATTAAAAAATTAATAGTTTGCACGTTTTTACTATTTTTATGCGTGACCCTATATAGCAGTAGAATTTTGTAAAAAAAAAAAAAAAAAATGTAAATACAAAACAAATAGAAAAAGATGTCTTCTTTGAAAATATTCCAATACTCTTTAGCAAACTGTACAGATATTAATCTCTTCTTCCACCCTCACGATTCGTTTGGATTTTTCGGTTTTCTCAAACAAACTGTTTTCTCTTAGACAATGGATTCACTGTACTCGTATACGGAACGAAAAGTGATGGAACTCTCGTTGCGATTCGGCGAAGAATTCATAATATTACAAATAATTATTATTTTACCTATACAATCAATAATGGCTATCAGTCTTATGGAAAACGCAGACACGCTCTGGCGTTTACAAAATATTATCATTTTACAAATACACCAGGCACCGGGCGTTCGTTCGTTCGTCTCTATACGAGTATTGTGAAACATTGTCTCAGACCTCAGTAAACAAACAAGATTGCCCTAACCTCGAATGTGTGCGGTCGCGTTGTCGAATTATCTATCATGGCTTTATACGATGATGAAAACACGATTTTTTTTAGTGGTATTTTTTTTTTTTTTTTTAATTACAATAATATGATGAATTAACTGGAAATCGTTACGATAATGTGCGTTTTTCGCGAAATCTCTTGAATCATCTACCGACCGGCAACAGTAGTAGCTGTTGCAAGCTAAATAGAATACCGACAGCTGTTATCACCGTCAAGGCAGTGGCTCGTATCGACTTCGAACGGTTGACCTCACTGCACGGCTTTTGGCCTGTAAAATTAATTGGAAAACGATTAAAACAATTTAACATCAACATGTCTATAACTAATTATATGTTCCATCTAAATTCTAATAGTATGAGGTGAAAAGAATCGTGCCAAGTGGAAATCGATAATTCCTGGATAACTGATAAGTGATTATCGATAAGATAAACAGTTGATAAGAAATGCATGATAAAATAATTATAAGATGTGTAGGGAAAGAAACAGAAAATCAGCTAATCATTAGACATGTTCGTGATCTAATGTTTCCTTCATGGGAAAGGTTGAAGATATTTTTTTTTTAATAACAAAGGCAAAACTAGCACTCACCTGCGGGCGACAGTGAAATGTCAAACGACAACACCAGTCCCGTCTGTTCGGTCAGGTTCTCGCCGTTGGACTTGCAATTGTCAGAGTGAATGTAAACTTGCACCTTGTCCGGCGGTCGTTTGATGTAGGACACGCAGTACAATTTCCTCCAACCAGCCGCTGTTGGCAAATCGCTACCGATTATTTGATGTACCGTATTGTTGTCCTTCCAGCTGCCGTGACATTTATAAGCTTTGAAAAAAATGAAAAAAAAATAAAAATCACCTTAGTATTGTAACAAAACTGTAATATAATTAATGGTTACAGTGTTTGTACAAGCTAAACCCGTATATTACACAAAGGACGGACTTGTTTAGACGGTAGCCAGTTGACCATCGGTTGACCTGTCATATGTGTTATCATGTTACTAGTCACTTAAAACGAATTACACACCCGTTTAAGTTTTGAACGTACTACGCAGGAAAGGCGTTCGGGTTCCCAAGGACGCTAAGTTCTTGGGTGGTCTTAAGCTCCTAAGTCACCACCGGTTATTGTTACTATATTATTTTCTACACCCTCCCCAACTGTGTAGTGGTCGTTTTTCGATTTAACTCTTTGAGGCATAGCGGGACGAAAAATAACCCACCATTTTAAATGTATAGATTTTATTTATTTTAAAAAACCCTGTTTTGCTGTCTCTGTTGTTAAATATTTTATAATCTTGTTTATTATCGGGTTACAAGAAAAAATCAATTATGTTTAATTTATTCTATGAAATGACTAATTTAGCCATCTGGTATCATTCGTATCGACAAGCAATGTGTCACACTAACCCATCTTAGAACTGACCATACTAATATTCGTCACCCTTTATTTCCACCAATAAATCAGGAACCAAATTATCAATTACTAAAAGTCCCCGAATTAGAAAACAATATTATCGAAAATGATTCACCTGAAAACACATTGGAACCCAATAATAATGAGAATGAAGCATCAAATAATTTTGAATTTACTGCTCCAATATGGTTAAAAAAGTAAAGTTATTTCATAGGAACTTCTCCCCGAATTTACGTGCGCCGACGGTCCAACTAGTTTGATTAATACTGAAGATGACCACACTCCGTTTTCAGCCTTTCAATTATTATTTTCAAACGAAATACTAGATTCACTTGTGTAACAAATTTGTATGCACACCAATTAAAAATTAAAACTGGAAAAGTTATACTCCTACTGATAAACAAGAAATTATGACTTTCCGTAAGTATAAGTATTTGAATGGGTACAAAACGTTTGCCAAGTTATAGAGACTACTGGTCTACATCTTTAGACTTTTATATGATGAATACATAAGTTCTCTTATAACTGTAAATCGTTTTGATTGGCTCCTCTCATCTTAACACTTAAATTACAACTCGGTTATGCCAAAGAGGGGCGAAACAGGTTTTGATAAATTTTACAGAGTTTAACCTTTTTTAAAAAAAAATTCGAGACAATTTTCAAAAATATTACTATCCACACAAAATAATTGCAGTTGATGAGTCTATGATTACATTCAAAGGGCGATCATCTTTAGAGCAATACATGCCTAAAAACCAACAAAAAGAGGCTATAAGGTATGGTCGTTAGCTGATAAACATGGTTATCTTTGGAATTTCGATTTGTACACTGGTAAAATAGGAGACAGATATACATGAAATTGTTTTAAATTGTTTTATATATATTTGTTTATAAATTGTGATAGTTGTTGAACAATTTTTCGTCATTTAAGTGCTTAGGCATAAATATAAAATAGTACATTTTATATCGGAAGTCATTGTTCGAACCTGACTCGGTGAAGATCCTAATTCAAAAATAAATTGAATTATTATTTATTGTTAAAAAATCAATTGACAAATTTTTAAATAATCCATATAGCATGTTTAAATTTTGTACTTTGCATAATGTATGATTATAATGCTCATAAAGTAGTCGAACAAACGTTTTTTTACAAAATGCTTGTCATAGTTCAATACAAATGTTTATCTAAAAACATTAAAAATGTCGTGCTAAATAATTTAATAGGTTTCTTGGATATTTTTACGCAAGTCTATATTGCGAGTTGACAAAAAAAAAACAATTAAAAAAATGACAATTAACAGTTGTAAAAAAATTATGTATTGTTGTCGTATCCATCACCAACCATTTTTGTTGACATTTAATTATATATGTTAATGAAACTAGTAGCGAGTGTATATTAATAAACTATTCATGCTAAAATAACAAAAGGTCATTTTTGACAATTATATGTGTAGTTGCCTTGTACCTGTCATTTACTAAAATAATGATTAAAAAGCTAATATTATCAAATGGCTTAAAATCATTTTCAGCATCTATAAATATATATATATATACATATATTTTTATTAGTAGTTTGCTTTTTTTTTATGGGTTTTAATTTCTTAATCACACATCGAATGTTGGCAATTGAAAAAAAAAATCCCTTATTTCTTTAATAAGTTACAATTCCTCCCTTTACCGAAAAAAGTAACCATTTTCAAAATATTAGTATCATTTTATAAATGTGAATTATTTGAAATTTAGTTTTAAAAAAGGATAATTTTTTTAAAGTATTTTATGTCAAAACATTTTATTTTCTATTATTGTTTCTTATATGTATATACAGAGTGTTTTCGGCATGACAAGCACAATACATAACATATTATATAAAGTATTTATCTGCCAACTTAAGTGTTCATTTTGACCATGGCATACATGTCAATTGTGCTATGTATGTTATCAAAAATATGTGACACATTATAAACACTGTGGGACACTTTAAGAACTTTCAATATAAATTCCAGTTGAAATATCTATAAAGCCGTGGCCAAATTCGGACATATCTAAACTTAAATTTCTTCGGCCTAAATACTTTTCATCACAATGCGCTGTTAAAAGACAAGATTATTCTGTAGTATATAATATATATATATATATATATTGAATAATTTATGATCTATCTTTCATATTGCAAATTCACATTGGGACATAGGTCTTATGAACTAATAACACATATAAAATATACATACATTTGTACGAGATATATTTTTTATTTGTATAGTCTTACATCATTTAATGTACATATCCGAAAGAATCCAAAAATGTTTTTTTTTATCAGAATGACCTATATTTGTATAGTTTAACCAATGTTCAACTTTAAAACTTAAAACGTGTTATTAAAATCTGTCGACTGTTATTTCTATTTGAATTTTTGCATAAACAATCGTTCTTTATAAATAATGGCTTGTGTTTTTTAACGACTAAATTAATTTATTACCTAAACACGTCCACCTTTTTATTCGATAGCCTATTGCTTTTTTTTATTAAAAACTTGTGTGCAACATTTATATGGTATTAAGTGAGGTCTATACTATTAATGATGAAACTTATAACAATATTCTTGTAATAGTTGAGTCATAAATTTGCAAAACATGCATCTATTCAAAAACGCATTTGTTTTAATTAACCGTTATCGCTATATATTATACATTGTGTTAATTGATTGGAATAACAAATCATCAATGAGTTGCGTTTGTTTAAATAGGTACTTAGTTCACTTAATTGGTTTCTTATTATTTTCATTACAAAACGTTTCCACCTGACTTTTGGTCTTCTAGGTTGTCTATGTATATTAGTACATTAACTATAACTGCGATTTGTTTATACAAAAATGATTCATCATAATATTGAACACTTATTCGCATATTTTTTTACAAATTCAATACGCCCATAGAAAAATTAAATAAAAGATTTATTTTTTATTCTAAAAAATTGGTAATGATTTATTCTCCAAGGGCAATCAGAAAAAAAACAAAATTAAAAAACGTATTTTTTTAACAACTGTTTTAAACAAATATTTACATCGATGGCATACAAGCTTAAATGAAGTCGTCTTCAATATAATTAGAACTATATAACAAAAAAAAACCTGTCTTAAAAAAAGTTTATATTTAAAATTGATTCTAATATTGTAAATATTACAACATTTGTATTGTAATGTGTTGTTTATAGTACACAAATATTTTGGTTCTTTGTGTGTCATGTTATATAATATAGTAAGCGCTTAGTAACTTTAACGTTGATGAAGGATTAATATTTACTAAAAAGCGAACACCATATTTTTGACATAATAATCATGACGTGTATAGACACTATAGTTATAACTTTATAAACATTAGTGCGAGAAACGGATAGTGGTTTATTAGACCATTGCGGAAAGAAATCATTTTCCTGTATATTTATTTGATTACATTTTTACAATGTTGTAGGAAATTAAACACCTACTATTATTACTACTCCTGTTCAAATATTTATCTTTGCCGTTATCATAATTAGTTTTAGACTATATGGTAGCGCATAGAAAAAAGTACATTGCTGGTTCAACTAATATTATGGTTAATATAGGGACATAATACATTTCTAGTTTGAATAACTAAACTAATAGTTGGCCAAACTAAATTTTTAGTCAAAGCTACTTGCTATGCATTTAGTTCGGCCAACTAAATGTTCAGTTGGGCCAACCATTTATCTCTATTTACCCTAATAGTTAACAGTGATTGTTTACAAGACCGTCAACCATGCGACAAGACTACTTTATTTTCAATTTTGTAAGCAAATGAAAATATCTTTTAAAATCAACTATTTTGTAGTATATTGTGATCATAAAAAATGCACCTACGTTGTACAGTTTTAATTACAAACCGACAACGTTTACGATTGATATATTTTGTTTTTTTTTAATTTTATTTTAAATGCATTGTATACATATACGCGTTTTAGCATCATAACTATTTACTGATATCGTCATATTTCAAGAATATTGCCTCACTTCTCCGTAAATTAGTACATATATGTAACTGTGAAGCCATGAATACTAATCGGCAATCACCACACATAAAAAATACTAAAGAATAGAATACAGATTTTATACTGCGAACTAAGATTGCCTTTACTAGGCAATAGTTATCCATATACAAATAAAAAAATTGAAACTCCACTCGACTTGACCAGTGGTCGACCAATACGTCATAGGTTAAAAACAAGTGTACTAATATATAATGAAATTATACAGAAATTTCCTGTCTAACCATACAGCGTTATTTTTCTTAGAAAAATATAATGTTCAGTATAAAATCGTTATCATAATTAGAGCATATTATTTATTGTTTTTTTAGAATATTTTTATCTCTCTCTGTTATTATACCTCGATAGTTTATTATCTATGAACGCTCTTTAGCCGGTTTTTTTGGAATTAGGCACAGTCGACTTACCATAACCATAGTTGATCAACGTTCGACTGCAATGAGTAGAATCCAATCACCCAAAAATGTATCGAGTAATTTTAAAAACATTATTTGAGTTGTAGTTTTAAAAGAAAACTTTCGAAATTTGATTTGAAATATTAAAAAGAAAAGTGTTTACATAATTAAAAAGTTGACTGTAAACGAATAGGATGATTACTCAGTAAAATCGTCGACTGTATAGTGTTTACAAGTTTAAATTAATACCGTTCGATCTAATGGAAAAATAAATACTGTAACACATACTTATAGATAATACGCACCACCTTCTCTCTTATATAAATGCGTACATACATTTAAATTTTGTTTCGGCAAATACTTATAAATTGGGTTGAACGAAGGGATTTCGTTAGAACACAAAATAATATAACATAGACCCTTAGCGAGTAAATATTAAAAACCGGTAATTTTATTTATTTATTCAATTTCCCCAAAATAAAGCTTTTGTTTGTGCTTTTTTAAACCCTTTCGCCGAACAATCTGAGGTTTAAATCGTAGCTCCGGGAAAACAGACAGAGAACCGTAAAGTGTGTGTATGTGTACATATTGTACATAATTTGAATAAAGGAGGTTTTAAATATTTTTAGGCATCCAATACAGATAGTCTCCGCTGTAAACAATGGCCGGTATACCCGGATCAACTGACGTGTCACGCTGTAGTATTCCATTGCCACCGTTGTCCAACTAAGTTTTCATTCCCTACCCATTGGTTTGCCCCGTTGCCTTTGGGCCTTTAGACGTAAGGCCAGGTCATTTGCCGGAAATTTTGACCGGATTTCCGGCGGGCCACAATCGGTATTTCTACGATTCCACCCTGTCCTTTACCGCAACCCAACTACCGGTATGCTCCCCCCCCTTCTATTCTTTACCACCCCAAAACTTATGTTTGACCGAAATTCAAAGGCTGCTATAACAATGTAATAAATAACGATACGATAATTATTATACGATAGTTACAAACAATGGCTGACGGATCGGAACTTTTGGATGCTTTTAAAAAAATATCGATATACACCCCAAAACAGTAAAATTCAAAAAAAAAAAAAATCATAAAGTTTGTTAGCCACTCGACGACGTACTCAAAAAATGGGATTTAATATAATATAATTTCCTGTAACAAATACTCACAGTATGACGGGAATTCCAAAATTATAAGTAGATATTAGGAACTATGGTGAAACTAAAACTAAAAGGTTATTTTATTTTACAACATTTTTGTCATTCTTCTTGCGCATTTACTAAATATTATGCAACGGTAAAACGTGGAAAACTTTTTTCAAATTTGTTTTCGAATATTATTAGGTGTAAGAAATAAATTCTGAGCTGAGTGTTGCGGTTTATGATCGTCGATTTTATTTCTCCTCGACTTAGGTTCAAGGTTTTTTATCACCCCACTCGATCTTACCGAAAAAAAAAAATTAAATAAAAAAGATATTTGATATTTTAGTCTAAAAATAATGTGTACTGGGCTTTGTGTAGTTTTACCATATTGTTTATTGTAATAATTGTATATTTTACCAGTATGAAGTTTTACCAATAACACGGAGTTTTGCATAGGCAAATTGAATACACAACTGTCGTTTGTCCGTACTCCTTACGTACATGTATTTAGAAATTATGGCGTTTTCCATATTAAAGCTTAAGCCTTTTGTAAGTGTTTAATACACTTGAATGATTTTATTATTTACTATAATATTTGTATAGTACAAATTGAACACCACTCGACAATATTCCTCGAACAATATGTTCAACTTATCATGGTTTTATATTCCCCCACCAAAACCCAACGAATATTTTTTAAATAGTATAGGAAAATTTTGTTTTATCATATTAAACTATTTATGGAGCAAAAAGTTGTAATTATTCGCACATGTTAATATTTTCTTCACTGTCTGGGGGATAGTATGTATTAGCTATACGTAAGGTACTAGCAAAATTTCCTACAAATTTTCCTTAAATGTAAAGGTACATCCTTATAAAAAATGACACTTTGAATTTTAAAAAAATGAGCAGTCACGCTAGCTCAAAATTGGTAATTCTTATTAATAGTGTTTTCAGTAAACCCCTACATATTTATTATGGTAAATAATAAAAGTTAGGATACTTCGAGTTTATAATCCTCTAAGGATAGATGTTTAAAAAATAATGTATTTAACGGTAAACAATATGAAACTATATTTATACAGATTAGATTCTACGTCATTATTAATGGAGAAAAGGGTTAATTTGGGTTAATTATACTTTCAAATGTATTTAAATTTTATAGAACTATAGTGTTTATACGCATAAAGCACCATTAAGCTTATAAATAATAATTAGTGGCGTTAGTCTACTAATTACTTTGAGGGTTAATCAAATTGTATTTTACGGTGTAATTAAAAATATAGGTAATAATAATATGGTAAGCTGACTTGACAACCTTTTGTCTGTTCTAGTAAAGAGGTCTGGTAAATACGTTTAATATCAATTCTTAACAAACGACATAGTCAAATGTGTGAGTTTCTAATAATTCAAACATTATTAAAGTAGTAGGATTTGATTGCGATGATATTATCGGTAACTTTGATATTCTATTGTTATTATAATAACACAGAATAAAACTATTATTGCGTGGTCGATAATATGTCTAAAATGGTTACACAGTCGAATATTATTTAATTAAATTTTTTTGAAAAAAGTATCGATTTTGTATTAATGTCAGTTTGAAATGACTATTATAGTCAGATTTCACGAAATAGTTTTGAAGCCCTTTAATAACATTTTACATTAATATATACAAAAAGTTGAAAAACTTAGCTTTTTATTGTTAAAAACAGGAAAACCTAAAACATTTTTATAGAAAATTTTAAATTTATATTTTGGCAGGTTCTGAATAATAAATAATGAAGATTAATAATAAATTGAAATCATTAATCAACATTTTTATGTGAATAATGGTTATATTATATAAGTGTTGGAATATTTTTACTTTTCAAGGTTTTTTCTGTATACATGTTTGGTCTTTCTGACAACTTGTATAAAGCTTTTAAACGAACTTTAGTGGAGTCAAAACGATTTTTAAAAACTCTTTAAATATTATTTTGTTAGCCTGACTTATTCACTATAGTCCAGTCGGCGACAATTGAAATGGCTCCTGATAACAAGTGGTTTTTAAAATATACTTCATATGAAAGTTGAAAGTGCACGTGACATCCAAGTTAACTTTAATATGTTACACACACGGATACAGTGTTGGATTCAATTCAAAATTATACAATCGGTAGTCATTGCTCAGCGATTTTATTCTACAATTTCCTAGATGTAGCTGATGTACTGTATTGTGTTCCAAGTTGAATACGTTGTTGCAAGAAGCTCTAATACAAAAAAGACCACACAGGACAAATATTCGAGATCAAATACAAATTTCGAAAATCGAATCAGAAGTATAATACTGGTGAAATATCACCTGATTTTATTAGGTACATATAAACATTGAGCAAAAATGTAATCGACAAAACATCTTACTTGATTTTATGTGAAACGCTTTTGGGCATTCCGCGCGCAACTCCAGAGCGTCGGACGATCCACAGGAAAAAGTTATTGAAGTCAAGTTCAACGAACACTTCTCTTCAACCGCCTTGTTGTGGTTGTTGTTGGAGTTTTGCCGACCTTTTCTCCTTACCCTGCGCAAAACCACCTCGCCCTCCTCGTCGTCGTACTCGCTAAGCCGTCCGAACTCCTTGCTCGAGTTCTTCCGGTTGGACCTGACCATGCTCGGCAAGTCCGGTTGCAACTTTTTGTAAGTCACGCTCCAGTCATCCGACGACTTCTCGTAGTACTCGGCGGAATGGCGTTTCGGCGCCGGCGAGGAGGTGGTCGTCAGCACGACCGCCGTCGGATGATTGTCAGAAGTTAACAAATCTATCGGTAACTGAACAAAAAAAAAAAAACAAAAACCCCCCCCGAGTCATTTATCATACTCCCGTATTGACGTTTTTGTTTCGTATACACCAAATGTATACACAATGTGTATGATATATTATACGTATACTATACTCACGTTGAGATTTTTCTTGTTTGGCGATAACGCATCGTTCCGTGCGATATTTTTGCCGATATTCTCAATCGTGTAAATTCCTCTGAAAGGACAATTTCGGTAATCCGATTTCAGCGCTGTCAACAAAAAAGGGCTTTCGTTAAAAATGCAATTTGTTTAACACGCGCGGCAAATTCATTGTTTTCTAGAAATGCCAGTCGACCGGACTATAAGACACACACATATTATTATACATTTTTCCGGCGGTTCTGTCAGGTCATCGTGTTACATGTTATTATCTGTACGATAGTCCCAAAACAATGAACAAAACGTGACATAGGTACGTATGAAGTTATCGTAATATTTTGGATATTGAAAACTGTCTAATTTTGTTCCAACGTACCACCAATGGATTTAACAGCGCGATGAGCACAATCCGACAACGGATTTGAATTCTCAGAATCTCTTCCAGGTATCAGTTTTTATCGTTTGCTATTTGTTCATGCGTACATTGTTTTTCAATTGAATACCGATCAGTTTTAAGTTCAATATTAAAAAAGCAGAAAATTGTTCCAAGAAAAGATGTAAAAATATATGTTTTTAGATTCGTCACTCTACCGTTAAACGCCGGAATAAAAAAATAGGCCTTTAGTTCTCTCCGCAAAGATTTCATACACTCGGAGGACGGAGACGTTTTTTATCACACAATTTCTCCTTAAACTTTGAGCAAACCGTTATTGTTACCATGTAATATTAACGTTTGTCATTCGAATGTGTTTTCGTCATAGAACTTCATCATTATTAGTATTATAATAAACTTTGTTTATTGAATTGTTTGTCTTGTTGGTTAATATAATTTAAGTTATTCAATTTTCCATTAGCTAATTTACATATAAACTAAATCGTCAAACCTTAGTTTGTGAACAACCATTTTATACACTACATAATTAAATTGTTACGACGATTGATAATGCCATATTCAAATTAAATTGTTTGTGTTATGTTATTTGTTACAATTATAGAAATCCGAAATATTATCTATAATTGGGAAATCTGAAATCATCATGGAGTTGTTTATCAAACTTCGGTTAGAAGACTTTAACATACGTATTATGATGGCAATGTAAATAATACTTCTTTGCTCTTATCAATAGAATAACAGCCCAACATTAACCGGCTTTTTGTCGAACTCATAGGTGTAACATTAAACTATAGAAAAGTATAGACACTACTGATATTTTTACAAATGACTACTAAAAAAAATCACCTGTCATAATATGACGCCTTTTGTACAATCAATAATATTTATTGAAAAAAACCACGTTGGTCTATTATTCAAACATATACAATATCCAAATCAATTACGATTATTATTTTTAACGCTAACCAATGATTGCGATGATTTTTTTTTTTTTTTGCTAATTGAACTAATTGATTTTAGTGGACAATTGATTGATTGTCACGCGAGTCATTTTAACCGTATATTTAACTGTCTGATGCCAATAAAAAAGTAAATACAAAACGAAATTAAACGGCGCGTATTTCACGCCAACTAGTTTTTGAATGATGCCGTTTGCTATTCATCGTACGGTATATTTGCCCGTGTACGCTGACAATACAAAACAGTATTCCCAATGGCGTTTTGGTTATTTATTTTAACGGGATAACGTGGAAATTGTAGTGGATCGGTTCGGGGCAAACACTCGCAGTATATTGTAGCAATCAGTGACTTACCCACTAACGTAATTGAATCAATTGTGTGCGGATCAAAGTTCGGTGAACTGCACGCGTCTTCGGGCCTTCTACTCGGTCGACCTGAATTTTGTCGGAACAAAAAAAAAAATAAATAAAAGAAACATCGCATTTATGTGTTTATCGCACCGGACGGTGTCTGAACGGATTAAAACGCGGCGACTTACCTATTTGGAGCTGTGCCAAGTCGCCGGACCTCCCTTGGAAATCCAGGCAAATGTATCCGCTCTGACTGCAAAGAAAAAAGGGCACGATTATAACGAGAAATAACGCACGAGTGACTAAAGCATAAAATAATAATAATACAAACAGACGAACCGACATGGCTACTAGCTTGTATGCGATAGTGAGGTAAATAGAAAGGCTAAAACCAGCATGACCACACAAAAGAAAAATAATTCTTCATTGTTGAGCGGTTGGTATTGTACACGATAAAACATGTTTCTAAATCATGAAATATTATCGTTTTATTCAAAAAAAAAAAAAAAAAATGTTATCATTGATATCTTATCATCACGGTATATTGAACGGTATTTTTTTTTCATTCTAACTGGGCAGACTGACTTTAGCCATTCTGTTTGCATCGCTTTAAAACTACTATAGTCACCCCTGGACTGACGTCAAAGGTTCTAGGTTGCTTACCATCCGGTGACGTAGTGCGCCATGACTCTGAAGCGGTTCGTGGCCACGTGGACTTCCTGTTGGCACGACAACTTCATCTCGTGGCCAGGCATCGGCGCCACCAGCGGTTGATTGTAGGCGAATTGGTTGGCGGTCTGCACCATTTGAGTGGTTGACGAGAGGTCAAACAAGTTGGTCACCAGCTTCAAGGTGCTGTTGTTGTGATGGTGCGGAAACGTGAACGTCTTACCGTGGTCCAACGTCCTCCACCTCTGGTTACCCGTCAGCCACGACGGAAAACTACATTTAGGCTCCCAAGTTTCTACGAATGGAAAGATGAAAAAAATTATACATGTATACAGTAGGGTGGTCCAAGTATTAACTTGTTGTATAATTTAAAATTTGCAACCCCCTCAGTGTGTTAAATATTTTTAAAAACGTGAGCATGCAAAATTTCAACTGAACTGAACGATAAGAACACGTGCCGCAGAACCTTCGAAGCACCAACAATAGGGCTCAACTAGATGAATAACAAAAATATTAAAATCAGTGAATTTCAACTAATCATTTTTAATTTGCTCAAAGTGCAGGAATTATTCAAACCACTTTTTGCTGGGATTTGACATTCGTCTAAGTATTCGACTATAAAATGAAAAAATGACATTGAATTCCCGAGGGAAAAGTTGGAATCACTAAATTTTTATAAAAAAAAAAAAAAAAATAGGATTTTTTATATTTTTGGGATTTATTAACATGGGACCTTATTATTTAATAAAGTAGTATTTGATGTTTTAACGAATTTTTAATCATCTTTTATATAGGTTCTAATCAAATAAATGCAAAACAATTTTAATTAAAATCACCGATTTCAATATTTTCTTATTTAGCTGATTGAGCACTATTTTTGGTGTTTCGAAGGCTCTGCGACCAGCGAAGAACACATGTTACTATCATTCAATTCATTCGAAATTTGGCGGTGCCAAATTAAAAATATAAGAAAAGTTAAAATTTAAACCACCCTAATTGTACAGTTCAAGAAATATTTACAACCATTTCTGCTGAAACCGAAAGAACCGCGCACGTACCTTTTTTTAGTATCATAGTCCTTGACCCTTCTAACGGGCTGAACAGACCACTACACGTGGCGTCTCCCGACTGAGCTACTTTGTATTCGATTTCGCCGGGGCCTTTGAGCTGCCTTTGGGTGGTCGTTCGTTCGTATATGAAACACCTGAAGCGGTCCTCGGTCGACATAGGAATACCGTTGCTGTGGTGAACCCTGCCCACCAAGAACCTGTAGGAGCCTTCTTTCCATCCGGCAATGCACTCGACTTCTTCGACTAAAAAGACAACATTAATAAACGCACGCATTTAATTTGGCCTCTTTGCCGAGGTCAATCTAATTATTTATTTGTTTATTCGGAAACGATATTAAAATTTTTTTTTAAATATTATGGTTTAGTACCAGTTACATATTTGATTCATGCCGAAAGCGGTGGTCGGTTTTCCGAAACTAGAAATATGTGTACTTTGAAGATTGTCAAAAACGATGCGAGTACTAAGTGACATTATGTACTTTAGGGTCGTCGTTAAATTCACCCTCTTATATATTAAACCATGTATGTACGTTGTTTGAATAATTTGGGAAACCCTAAAGTTTCCCCCCGATTACTTTACACTACTCGTTGTGTACCTAATAAAACGTGTTTATTTTCCATTTTCGTTTTTATTAATAAAGTTGTTTTAGGCATTGTTCAAACGAGTACCGTTTTTATAGCCAAGAAACCAGAAACAAAATTACCCCGAAATATCTACCAGAAAAATGTATATTAAACGATTAAAAAACTTTTTCTTAACGACCAAAGTATGAGTACAAGTGTAAGTATACTCGGTATTCTTGTATTATATTCCTACACATTTTTTCGCATCTGTGTGGGTGTGTGTGTGTTTAAATGAGAGAAAGAAAATAAAAACCTCCAGACGGTTACGACGCGGAACATTTAAATAAAACGAAACGCCAATTTGGCCTTAATATTATTTTTAATTTGTGTAGACCGGTATGAATTTCTGTTTAATAAACCTGTAGTCATTTTGTAAAGTGTACACGGGCTGTATTCAAACAGAGTAAAATATTTTATTCGTTTGACGCTAATTTGTCGGAGGGACAGAAGACGAAAATAATCAATTACATAATGACTTGACAGACATAGTGTGAATATAATGAGCGATTCAGCTATGACAAATGAAGTAAACGGACCTAGAATTTGTCCATTGTTACAATACTAATAATTATTACTATACATGATAGTTATATTAACGTTTTATTTATGTGTAAAAAAATGAAAACATGATAAAGGCCAGGAACAAGGTTAAATACTATACACGAGATTAAAAACATAACGACCACAAAACAGTTACAATGGAACTTTCTTTTTTTTTTGGGGGTTTTTCGGCTTGACTTGACATAGGTAATATATTATGGCGGCTATTCCGTTCGTTTGCAGTTCAACGATTTCGCTCAAGTACATCTTAACTTCACGTTCAACAAGGAACTTAGGGATTTTTTTTTTAAATTCGTTTAACGGGTAACGTTTGCTGCGGACGTTCTTGAACGCTGTTGTTTATGGTTGGACATTTGCAAATCGTTTTCGGATTTCGACGGGACCAAAACCGGGGCGGAGATAACTCTGGTCACATCACGTTTAACCGATATTACCGTAATAAATACACTGACAGTACTCACGTGTGCTCTCCGATCCTTCGACGTCCGGGCACGCTTGGTACCTGAACAACAGCCTGGAGTCCTGCGTACAAGCGTCCACGGTAGACACTGGGTTTTTGCAGTCGCCGTGACCCCGGTTGTAGGTGAACGTGTAGGGGGGTTTGAACGGGCAGGCCATGGGGTTGCCGGACTCGCGAAACATCGAGTAGAGTAGCGCATCGCCGGTGATCAGCGAACAGATGGTTTTCAGATTGCCTTGTTCGTTGCAGAATGCTGTGGAAAAGACGGCCGTAAATCAAACAAAACCCGGTCAAGTCGTCGTCGTCGTCGTGGACTTGGAGAGCGAGTACAAAGTTTCCGAAGTGCCCGTTTAAATAATATAACTATCGCGGTCTCGTTGTAAACGGCACAAGAGCTCCAAGATAGACGGAGAGAGTGAGTTTCCGGTAAACGGTCTATGAAAAATAATTAACGTCCGGCTGCTCTCTTCCGCACAATCTATCCCCCCGTTTCGGTCACGACTTTTGGCTTTTGCAAAACTTTTTTTTTTTTTTTTTTACTTCCGCCTTTACTCGGCTACGAATTGTGAATCGCATTTCGGACAATCGTTTCGGTTGCCCGCAACGACGACAAACGGCGTGACGATGACGACAGAGCCACGTTTTTCTCGGCACACACCGGCCTCCGTCCCCCTTCCCCCCCCCCCTCCCCCCGTATATACGTACTACCATTATTACTGACCGACACCGGGTAACGAGTGTGCTGTGTTATTACTTTTTTTGTTGAAAGAAATGCGACTTACTCTCTTTGTATTGTAGTACGTTAGGATGTTTTTCGTGGATGACCACGCACCGGTAACAAGGCTTTTTTCTGAAAAAGAAAAATTGAAAAATAACCGTCAGTATATAATAATACGTTATATAAATCGGTGTGCCGATAGACGTATAGAGGCCACCGTCGTTGTCGGCTGATTTCGTACAATGTGCGGTGCTTTTAATCTAAACGCATTACGGGTTTACTTCCGGACCGTCAGATCAGTGCACACGCCGCCGAAAAAAGGGTGGCCGACCGGTGACACGTTTTGTTGTTGTGCACGCGACCGTTCCGTATTTTTCCACGAGGACCTTTTGGCCGATTGATTTTTACACGCATTTGGAAATCGCACGCACAGTCCCAGTGCGACGTTTTCGTTTGTCTTTGGATGGGCGCAAAAAATGTAATTAAATAAATAATATAACGAAAAAATTAAAATATATAATTATCCAAATTATTACAATGGTAGCGCATTAAAAAAAACTTGGCCGAAAAATGACACTTCTACGAATGAAATGTAAAACTAATACGGCTTGGTATATTTTATTGGTGCAATATCACTGCTTTCGAAGTTTTTTCATTTTTATTTCATTTTTCTATCTGGAATGACGTACGGATTTTTACGAGTTTTGCTTTAAAACGTGCAACGTATAGTTTTGTAGACACTTATAAGCGTTATATGATGAAAACCTCTTTAATAGCTTTACCGGCGTATAGCAATACTAATGACTCTTGTGTTTTTCGAAAAAAGACTTCATTAATTTATGAGTATAAACTAAATATTATTGCCAGTCAGAATTTCAATACACCAACGACGGTCCAATATGATTTTTTCAGACTGTACACCTCATTGAAGTATACTCATACTACATGTTTATTAATTATTATTGTTGACACTTGACTATACTTGTCATTTGATGAGTAAAGAAAAACATATTATATATTGCTTAATATGGATTTTTCTCTAATAAATAACATAGAACTGAAACATTATTATTATGTATTATATTATAACAGTTATTGTGCTCTTATTGTACAGATTGTATATTTTCTAAATAAAAAAAAAATTGTTTAAAAAAATTATAATATATATCTATAAAAGTTCATACAAATCTTGTACCACGTCTTCGCAATCAATATCTTTTACCAACTAATCGCCCAGAGTGGGATTAAGTAAACAAATCTCCATTAACGTTTTCTGATGTTTTAATTAATTAAAGTGTAGTAGTTAGCGTCAATTAAATTAATGTATTTATATTTGTAGACGAGAAGAGGATAAAAAGACGAAAAGCTACTTTTCATTATAATTTGTACATATATATGTATAGGATCGTTTCATAAAGTAAAACTCGCTGTAGCATGTTATAACGATACTATGTTCGGTATATTGTTCTTTGCTGTTAACTATACAGAGGTCGGTGTTCTTTACTTGAGATTTGCTGTAGATGTAGATGTAAGATTATTAAATTTCATACGGCCACATCATAGTGGTAGCAAATAACCGTTTTTCAAAAATCTCGTTCCTTATTTATAAAGTTTTAATGCATAGATTGTACACGCTTATGTTACTTATATGCTCTAGGAAGCTAAATTGTGAGTATCGGAATCGCTCAAACGATGCATGGAACGTTGACGGACAATCTTAGATTGGAGATTACTAACTCGGAATTCCGATTATCTCCGGGTTGAATCTTCTTCTCGCGCGTGACGTCTCATTATAAACTTTACCGACAAACATAATGTGTTCCGAGGCGATTCGGCATACTATATAACTTGTTTGTCTGGCAGACTTTGCCTGTACAATGCGATAGACTCGCGAACAATTGGCGAACACAATAGCAGACGAGTCGTCACATCCGCGTACAGTATAATATATTACTACGGTTGCACGGTGAACATGTTCGCCGAACGAGGAGTCCCGTGGTTTTGTTAGACTTTGGATACCTATTATAAAATATACACGGCAGAGTGATGGCGAATTCCAAGAGTCAATACCGTACGCCTTGACTTAAGTCCCGACACGGAAACACGCACGTCTCGATCCGTTTGAACGCCGATGAAGTTTGTGCCAAAATGTTTGTGCAGATAAAGTTTATCCCTTTATCATTCCCCGACGATAAAATCACAGCGAAGAAACATTATCTTTGTAATTAGGTCCATTACGCCCATTTACCCGGACGTAGGGCAGCGCAATTATCCAAATAGGCGGTGAAACTTTGATTTCCTATGGAAATAGGTCTCGTTAGCACGAATACAATATAACCTGCTCTCACGGTTATAATTGTATTATGTATGTCTAATCGAACCTTTTGTGATGCGCCTGGTCGGGATTCGCACGAGTGAAAATTCGAATTTTCATAAGGACACGTGTTATTATGATTACAACGACTGTACGGAACTCTCAGAACGCGCTGAGAATAATTTTATCATAACAACAGCATTAATGCGCAGAGGAAATTGAAAAAATCCAAATTAACACAATTGAGTGGGGTTGCCCATACTAACAAGTATGCCATGTCGATGGGAATTATTTCGGTGTTGGAAAAGCTTAAGAGTTTTTAGACTATTAAACTTATTATTTAAATCACAGTCCTAGTTTGATAATAACGTATTTAAATTATTAAAACAATCGAATATCTGCACACATTATATTGATGAATGAACGTGTCTGTTTAATTTAGTTTTGTTGAAAAATTGTCATAGTTGTCTATTAATTACAGATCAACTGTAAAAAAGTGTCTGATAATTAAAAAATTAAAAACCCACTCCTGAAATCAAGACAACTTTTAAAAAATGAACAGATTGTTTCCAAAAGTTATCAGCCACGCGTTAAATCTATAAAAATAAAACATAAAAATATTTCAAAATTATATTATTTTTTTATTCTTTTGTAGTACGTATACTAAAGTCGAAAGTTTTAACCGAGTAGTCGTTAAGTATGACACAATCTCTCGTATTTGGCGAACGGTTTTAGTCAGTTTAATAATATGTACGTTTTTAGTTCTGAATCAATTAGTTTGCGCTCACAAAACAAACAAAACGTGTCCGGAATTTATTTGATTATGTACCGACTTATTTACATTGCTTGTTGTCAATTCGAATATTTTATTATAATTCGTCGAATTACTTCTACTTTGGGCTCAGCTCAAATAAACCTTTTCAATATTATAATTTAGCCAGAACTCTATTAAAAAAAAAAAAACGACCTACAGAGCTACAAATGTAATTGTAAAATAACAAAAAAACTGTACAAAAGGGTATCGTCTTTGATACTAAGTATATGGTTTAGTAACGGTATATTGTAGAATTCTTGATGTGAACGGGTATATTTATTACAACACATGTACATAGTTGTTGAGTTATGTAAATATAGTATATAGCTACACAATAAAGAGTAATGGTCGAATATTTCTTCGAGGGCTGTTTACTTGAAGATGGATGTAAATACAAGAAAAAACCTACCTAACTACTGCATCCCTTTACTCGAAAACTCATAAGAAAACAAAAAAATCGCAACGCGTTCGAGTACTTGTCAGTTTAGTATAATCTTTCAGCAAAACATTCTATGAACCGCGTTTTAAACCAACAACTCTGTAAAGATCAAAAGAATAAAAAAAAAATACCGAAAGTTCAAAACATAAAGACTACGTTTTATGTACTCTTTCAGAACTCGGTAAAATCCTCGTTCAGTAAAATTGATTTGCTGAGTCGACATTGCCAACCTAAACACGTGTCGTCGTTAAACAACCAACGCGTAGTTTGAACAATGTATACAACGAAGAACTCGTTGAAATTCCTTAAAATATTTTATAATCTCGTCTGTGAACTTTAAGTCGCGTACTCGGAACACAATTGAAGAGATTTACCGTAACCGAAACATGTTATTAATTTTCAAAGTTTATACAATTATTTACCAGCAGACTTGCATTAACATAATATATAATTTATGTAGTATGACCACTAAACTATTGTCAAACTTGGTAATAGAGAACAATACTGAAGAACACGAGCAGTTTAAGTGCATTTTAATTAGTTTGTTTTAAATCGATTTATAAAAAACCACGAACCGAGTGGTGAGATCTAAGAATTGAAATAATATTGGAATTGACCTTCGATTTTATCTTCAGAAAATTATTGAAAGTAATGGGTTTCCTTAGGAGATGCTGTGGTGACTGACAACTTCAATGAGCCTAGATGTCTAATATCATATTGCTTTCACGCTTATTGAATGTTCATAAGAGTTTTGATCTGTTGTCTGGAGTTTATGCTACGTAGTTGGATCATACAACTAAACTCATATAAATTGCAGAGGCATTTATCCACATGGTGAAAAAGAATTAGGCGATATGTCAACCGACGATGCGTTTTCAATATCTTGCCCAGGGTATATTTTATAGATTTAAGTAGGTAAGTGTATAACGGTTGGTTTTAAAGTAATGAATGCATCATTTTATTGCCATAGGTTGTTAGCTAAAATTAATTTAATAGTTCATTCAACTTGAGGTTTTTCAACTCTTGAATAGATCCAATTTGTTTGTACCCACATGTTACTCGTTTAAGGAATCTTGTAAATATTTCGATTGTAGATTGAATTAAAAATTGTCATTTTTTTTTATATAGTTTCATTGCTTTTAAAATACATTTCTTATGTCCCAAAAAATCATATCATTATTTTCTTTTGTTGGTTTTTTTTTGCAGAGCAAAGTGAGCGGATTATTTTTCAACAAACAACAAATGATATCTCTCTCAACGACGGGGTTAACGCCTTATTAATTATGTGTAATTGAAACTTACTCGTCAGATAGCAAAAACTTATCGTTGTCAGATTCGATGCATTTGCCTTTGATGCTGAACCGGTTAGCTTGCACGATAATCGACTGCCGGATGCCGGACTGAAACCATACGCCTTCCCATCGGGCCGGAAACGTGCATCCCTCTGCAACAGCAAAACAAATAATAGTTATTTTAATATCTTGCTAATATTATTGCCAAAAAAACTCCAACGGCTTTGAAAATTCAATTATTTACAATATTTTATAAATCGGTTGTTCATAGAGTAAATTACTGAGGGTAAACCATACTATTAGTATCAGTGTACACAATTTTTTTCAAAAATCTTTGGTAATCATTAGAAATTAATGATAAATGGTAATGTTAAGTCAACTGAAAAAATATTTGGTAGTCTCGGGTACAAAATATAAAATAGTGATTCACATCTGGTGAATTTTAAGTTTTTTATAAGGCCTTAAAAGTATACCCTAAAATAAAATTGATTATATGTGTATAAGCGGAACCTTATAAAAATATCACAGTCTAGAGATTTTTTATTTGTTGAATGGTTAAACAAATAAATTCAAAATCGGGGCGTCTTTTCCTCTTTTTTTTTTTTTTTTTAGAAAATAACCGAATTAAAAACAATTTAATATTAAAACCGTGAGAGATTTTCCCGTTAAGATGCCTACTGCCAACGTGGCATGTTTTTTTGCTCCAAAAAACGTGCTGTGCGGAAAAATGTCTCACGCCTCAACTACAGCGATCAGATTTAAATATTTTTTGTGTTAGTTTAAAAGAGGAAGATTTTCTATATTAGGCATTATTTTACAATTAATTGCCCCGTCGACCGCAAGCAAAATACTGATGTCACGTACATGGGCCCAAGACGATTCTTTTTTTTTTATGAATAAAATAAAAATATATATTATGTATTTTTTTTTTTGCCGTTTTCCACAAAGCGATATTTTTATATTACACTGACGTGTATTAGGTAAGTAGGTAGGAAGGTAAATGTTGATTTTTCGCTTCAGTGAATGCTACTGCGAGTGTGCCGATAAAAAGTATAATACATATATATATATATATATGTACAATACAAAGAGCCGGGAGCTTTTTATCTGCCAAAATGTCACCGACATATGGCAAAGAAATCGTCTCTGCGGCGACTGGAAATGACCGATACGTAATCGAAACTCAAAACGGTTTTAAGTAATATCGTGCTCTGAGGTAGTGTCGCGTTATTTTCGGATCGTATTCAGGATCTGATAAGTAATCCAATTGAATAAAACTAATGGAAGGAACAAAAAAACCCTTTCCACGTGGCGTTTTCTCTTGGCCCGTCATCATCGACAGGCTCCGACGAGCTGTTTCCGTCGGTCACGTCCGCTGTGGGGTTCTCGTGTAGGGGAAAAAAATAGAATAAAAAATACCACCGTAAATACTATGACCGCACGCGATATAGTGCGGTGTCATCTTCTGTGTGATAAAAAAAAAAAACCTATAAACACAAATGATAATATAATAGGCGGTAATAATCGGCGGTCTGTTAGAGCTGTGTGTGTGTGTGTGTGTATATTATATACGAATTAGTTGTGCTGCCAATCCGACGGAAGTGTCTTGAGATTAACTGCTGCGCTTATTGGAGGGGAGGGGGGGGGAGCTTTTTACTCGAATAAAAATATTTGCAATAATGACGTGAAACGTTTGATGGCGATATAAGGGTTCGGCGAATAAATCGGTATACGTCTCGAATTGAATTTCATTAAGCATCAACCGACGGAGGACGGTTCGTTGTACCGATCATAGGGTTCACATGTTAAATGGATAAAGGTCGTCTTGGTTACGTCGCTTTGGTTTGATTAAAGGGTTTACGGTCGATCGATTCACTGCGTTCACGAGGTTTTGGCAATAATACTATCATCGTTCCCGTGTTACTATTGTAATATTATGTAGCGTTTAAACATAGCCGCCGGGCAATTTGCATAATCTTTATAGCGTCGCTATATATGTATGTATATATATAATTGCAACCGCTATTAAATATTTATCGATCGCTCCCCGCCCCTTCCCCCAATGCCGTTTGACCAAACGGTGTACGCATTCATTCATATTTAGTACATAATTTGACTGCAATTAAATTTTTACACTGAAATGCTGCTTCAGGTCCGCAGAGACCTTTGTCGGTTTTATGCATACATAAATATCTTTATAGAGTATAAACTCTGATGCGGACGAACAATGTAAAATATAATATACCTTTACACGTGTTTGCTCGAGTAGACTCATATGCCTTACTTGTTCTGTCACTGACAACCACACACCGTGTTCATCACTATATTATTATAATAATCCTTTGTGGGATATCGTATTATGTCGTTTTCATCTACGCGCACAGTACTAGTACTTGCGCATAATCTTTATTTGTCCAACCGCCAGTGCGATTTTTTCGACCTTTACCAAACGTTCACACACATTTCTCGACGATCCTTTTCATATTTAAATACCGTTATCGCACATATTTTATATTAATATATGCGTACGTTTTCTACCGCCTAATGGAAATTCAGACTTCTTCGGTCGAAGCATTTATACATTTTACTTTAATTATTGGTAGACAACTGTCCTTAAACGTCGATTTCAGTAGTCTGCATGCACTCGACGATTAGCTTAGATCAATTAGTTTAAAAATACCTGTACGAAATGCTACGAAAAATAGTTATCAAATTTACTTATTGCGAGGCGGATAAACGAATCAATTGCAAAGCTGTTTATTTTCAAGAGAGATTTAGATATTCAATCACTTCCAAGTAGGTAGATAGTGATCCTTAGAAAATGTATAGATAGGCGAAATGAGCGTAATTGTATTCATTAAAAAAAAATTTGTCAAAGAATTATTAAATTAAAGATATTAAATATTTGAGTATAAGAAGTAGCAACTTATTGGGCCTAACTTAATAAACTCTTTGTGATAATTTAAAAACCAATTATGTTTAGTGTTTATGCGAGTACTTATTTGTAATTTAACGTTCAATCGGTTTAAATTCGATACAATGAAAAGCAATACTATACTTTACGTTGGATTAGTGCCAACTGACAATGTGGATAAAATCTACGGCAGTTCATTCGCATAGACAACGATTAAAATGAAATAGCAACGTTGAAACAAGTAGGAAGTGTTCATTAATACTGAATTCATAATTGATCGTTTGTTTTGCTTTTCATCGATAAACTAGATTACAATTTATCGATATTAATAGGTAATATATACATACATATGATGAGGATGATTGAAGAAGATATAGGTTTTTATATAAGACCTAGGTTTAATCCGGCTGGATAAAGGCAAAAGTGAGTTATGAATTATATGTCATTGTTTACAGTTGAGTGACACAAAGCGTCAACAGTCGAGGTTGTGTAGTTTCTAATAAAACCGCCAAACACAATTTCACGTCTCGTTTATCACCTTAACCGAGACAAGACTTGTATAAAGCTTCGGGCCCTCGAAGCCCACTTTTGCCTTGATCGAATCGGAACCTATTTTTCTTTAAAAAAGACCAATTGTCGGGCACGTAAGGTGTACAAACTAGCCATGGTCCGAAATATGTTTTCTGACAAATATTTTCTTAGTCGTTGTCAGCGATGTAAATTGTATAATACAAATTGTATTATACTGTATTATACATGCGTATAATACGTATTTTATTAAACAATAAAATACAGTGGTATAAAATAAATAGTTTAAAAAAAGTGATAACTAACAATCAAAATGAAAATTGTTTGGCAAATGCGCAACAAAGTTCGGTTATCATATTAATGTACCGTAATTGCTACACGACCGATGTTCTCTGATTGGTCGATTTAAATTTGCCGCCTTTTATATGTTTATGATTTATAATTGTTTCACACCCGGGATATTGTTTTTGGCTGAACTGATATCAGAAGGGCGCGTATAATAAGTAAACATAGCTGGTTAGTGAGGTTACAGCTCGGTTTTATTATGTTATCAATAGACAATAGTAATGTAATCATTAATCAGTGTCGTTGTGAATGCAGTTATCTGCCGAGAGGAGACAAGTCGGTTTAATTTCTATTATTAATTATATATAAATTCATATCCTCCTCGAGCACCGTTCTTAATATAATATGTACTTATTATTTACTTAGACAAAATTCCTCTTTTGATTTCAACTGCATTAGCCTTTGTTATTTAAGTTAGTAATTCAAAGTTATGATAACATAATACTCATTATATTGATTATGATATTATACAAATTCGTTCGGTATGAGGATTACAATCTTTAATTGTTTTATATTTTTACAAAAAAAAAAAAATCCCGATTAATCTGTATATGTAACTTGAACTATGAAGTGATGGAAACAAAAATAAGTCATTTTAGTAAAGCATTACAAAAAAACAATTTATAACTGTATGACTAATGAGTTTTATGGGTGATCTTGATTTTTTTCTCAAAAAAAAATGTGACTTCTTTATCGCTTTGATTCTTATTACTATTTTTGTTGGTTTAAAAAATAAATAGCCATAATATTCTTTTAGTTTCGATGTGAAGCTGTGAAGATATTATTGTTTTTTAAGTGTTTTTATTTTTGTCTGGGTCCATAATATCTTCCAAACTGCTGAACCGATTCCTTTATAAAAAGGCCAAATAAAGTATTTGGCAAAAATTAAATATGTTCACCACTTCACCACCCTTCAAAATCGATAAAAACGCCAAAAATCACATATTTGACCGTATTCAAATTTCCGGGTTGCCAACAGGTATCCGAAAATGTTTTGCATTATTGATTGCCACTTGTTAACAACGACAGCGAACTGTGAGGTAAAATAGATAGAATAGATGATACACTCTAGCCTGTTAGCAATGAAAAACATTGGTAACACTGGTCAGGAGTGACCACGCTAGTGATCAACAGTTGTAGTCAGTTAGCCGTTTTTGTACTGCCGTATTGTGCCGTTAATTTGTTAATATGTTATAAGTAATATACAGAAATTGGTTTGTCTAACATTGTTTAATTTATTTGTTAATAAGCCGTATGCACTATCTAATACTAAAAATACAAATTTAAACACATATTTGTCTTGACTATACTCTTATCAATATTTCTACAATCTACAGATTCGCATCGAAGCGTCAACTGCGATTA